GACCAGCATAACAGCTTGCTTTGAGTATTTAGAAACCCTCTCACCCAGCCATGAATGTGACCGGCTTGCCGTCATTATTGCACAATCATTCCAATATTTCTTCATAGGAACCTTACAGAGAGACTGTTAACCAAAACAGCTCAGCAAGAATATCTAACTAATGGTCTTCTCAGTGCTGTTGACTTCTACGACAACGAATCAAAACACGATTTGAAACTGTCTAATCGTGCGACGCAGCAAGAGACGGACCCTTCAAAGAACAAAAGTGAAACAATATTGCCCAATAATTGAGAGATTCGTAGCACACATCTATTATTACACCCTCAGGGGGCAATAGAAAATACTTTCTATCGGTTTACTAGCTCATAACCGCATTTGTAATTGATTTTGGTTGAACAATAAAAAGGTTAAAGGATAACGCGTGTTTGCCTGTAAATAAACTAAATGTTAATATAGCTTATCTCGTACTCTAATAAATTCCCCGCAGGGGATTTCTCAGCTCGGTACATTAACCGATGAAAAGTGTTATTGAAAAGTGTTATTGAAAAGTGTTATTGAAAAGTGTTATTGAAAAGTGTTATCGAAAAGTGGATTCTTGAACGAATAACTTGAGATATCATGTTAAAGTCAACACTAATGATTTTCGGTAACCTGTGAGAGCGGACTATAAGTGTTATATGCATGATCAATTGACGATAAAAAAGGAGGATAGTATTACGTTAGAAATTATTATCATCATAATTACGTTAGAAATTATTATCATCATTCCATACTATTTTCCTATTATTTTAGTGACCGATTGTGATGCATGAGCTTCGTAAATACATCATACAGTACCTGTGGCTCAGTGGCAGAGCATCATATGCGCGAACTATAAAGTTCTGAGGTTCGATTCCTCGTAAGGACTCAAAATGTTTTCCCACGCTCGTGACAGGACGAAAAACATCTTTCGCTTAAGAGCAAGTACTTTTAATCCTTCGAAATTGTCCAAAAATTATGAATTTTAAAGGTCTTTCCAGCGCAATATTTTTTTCTTGAGTGAGATCAAAGCGGAAAATCCCAACAAGGCAAGATGGTCCATCTTTCCCGCTCGGGTAGCTAATCAGAACACTGGATTTCCTTCATATAGCCCACGGACACTATAAGCTATTTTTAAATACCAGAACGTACAATTGGTGATATTTATTAAGATAAATATTACTTACTGTATGTTCTGGTTCGCGGATTTATGGTTGCGTGGGTGGTTTGCCCCCTGACCTTAGCAGGTCATTTGCTCGTTAACGTAATTTTTGGGCTTCTCCACTGACGTTGTTGCCCACGCAAAGCGTCGTGGCAACCGTGAGAGCCATACTACTGACGCGATTTACGGCGGGCTTTTTAATGAATCTTCCAGTCACATTGCAGCCCGTCTTACAACAGACAAACTGTAAAAATATTGATACTTAGATATGGCAACTGCACCGACCTGCACTCAGTGACAGTTATCAAAGTTTTGAGAGGTAAAAAACACGGCGAGAAGACTACTTATTCGCACTGTCATATAATCACTGATAATGAACATGGTGTAGGTCACGGCTGAGAAAAAAACAGTTTTCGCCAATGATAGCTAGGTTATATATGACGTTTAATAAGTAATTAGCTAAGTCGGGCAATTAAAGTTGTGTAGCCGAAGGCCACATGTCTATTACCATGATAAATATTTGCGTATATTGGAAAGAAAATTATTTATTCATCCACAGATTTGGTCTTGGATTATAAAAGGAAGCAAAATAAGAGTTCGTTTTTACCATTTGCCATCATTATATGCTTCAACTCAATTATTTTTCTTATTCTTTCTCTGCTTTACTCAACGGTACAGTGTGATTAAGTGCGGAAAACCCACGGGCAACTCATCGAGTTAGCGAAAGCAGGCTTTATGTAGAAATATTCTAGTCCAGTGTTCAAGCGTAAAATTGACCGTAAGGTTGTAAAATGACTCATCACTGCTTCGACAAATAACCGTGAACGCGAGCGGAGGGCTTTGAAAATTTTTAAGTTTTTAAAGGAGATCATGTCAGCTACAATCGAATGAGTAATACTTAAAAAGTCAAATAAGTCAAATTAGTGAAATTCATTGGAAATTGTTTTATGTATATTTCATCGAATATAATGATGCAGATAGTCCATTTTGAAGAGGGTTTCTATGGGTTTAACCGTGGGCAAAAACTTTTAGCCGTTAGACGAAAAAGTTGACAAGTTTTTAACCGACAGTCGTAACAAAAGTTAACCGTAAAAAGTTTTCTTTTAATCAAAACGGAGACCGGAAATAAACCGTTAGTCTTACAATAGGCAAAATTCTAACCGTTGGCCGTAAGAACCATCGAAACCCTCTCTGAACTGCTATGTGCTGATTGCAAGAACCACTTCCTTTCTTCACTTGGCATATGGACTGAGCAGTGTTTGCCGTGAATATAAGCTCATTCCGGCTAGTTATCTCACTTGTGTCATGTTGCAGGAGAGCTCTGGCAATAAATACAAGCAATGAAAGCAAAAACTTACTTAAATTATGGCTGCGCCTCGATTAACTTTTACGCTTCTCTCGTGCTCTCCAAACTTTCCGCGTGCATTCATAACTCGATGAGCGTGAGGCAATTTTTTTAGTGACAGTACGGACATTGAAAAGGACAAACTACACAAACAAAGTAAAATTACATGCAATACCTTTTCTGGATTCGTTGTCTTTGTGTTTCATGCACAGTCTCAGTATGTTTCACTGAGAAGTTGTAACATTAACGGCAAAGTTCTGAGATAAATTGCTCTCACGGGCCAAAATTTAAATTCTGACCACGGTACGGCAATAAAATGGTTTTTCTCATATAGAATGTCGTACGGAATGTTCCTCAATTTTCTTCTAAATCGCTGAGTTCTAAAACGCATCTTTTAAATAACTGATACACTTTCAAAATATAGTACAGTTGTGGAATTTTTGTTAAGACTTCAGATCATTTTACAACTGTGCATCTTCTTTGCACACTTGATGTCTCCAACTGAGCGAGAACATTCTCCACAAACCGTCCCAGCCACGTTAGAAATTAACCGTATTCTTTTTTAATGCCGCTCAGTTACATTTTTAGGTGTATATAACCCTATTATCTCAAAATTCTTAGAGTACATGGAAAAATGACGTCTGACGCTTGAAAGGTAGAAAAACTCTCTCAATGTGAATTAGAAAAAAAATAATCAGATGAGGAACAAAAGGACTTTTTTAGTTATGTAGAGGGCATTATCTGGAGAAACTAAAAACACGTACTGGCTTTTCTTTCTCTGTACCTTTTCAGCTTCACAATTTAGTGATCTCATCTTGCGTGATTTCCAAGTTTGGCGGAGCTTAGGTTTTAAGAATATACGATCAAACCTGTCCTGTCTCTTGTTTGGCAACCTCTTGGGTGGCGAAAAGGTCAAAACCACGTACTCCAGCGTCCTCCATTCTCCCGAAAGTCAAAAGATCAAAAGTAAATCGCGAATTTGTCGCTTTTCAAATTTAACCAGCTGCTGTACTTGTGCAATGAGACTGTCAAAAAGAAGTGACCTGTTGCTCTCCATGGAAGCTCATACAACTCCAAGGCGACGCCGTTGCTGATTTGCATACACTGGACACGACGAGTGGTTGGCGCAAATACAATTAAGCAGCACGAAAGAAAATAATAGAGAAAGAGGAACGGCTATCGCGAGCTTGGAAGACAGCGAACACAGAGACATGTGCGGAATGCATTTACCGCTATTGCAACACTTTTCACCGGTGGTACAATCGTTGTCCTTTTCGCAGCCTGTTGTGATGTTGCAACTTTCAACACATATTCCGTTGCAGCATTTCGTGTTTTGGCTCATCTGATTGCAAATTGTCTGGTTCTCACAACGAGTTGTAGAACTTCCCAAACGAATGATCAAAACTAAAGTCAGAACTTCAAGTAAGATGTTACTTTTTGCACTCATTTTGAATAACTGTTTGGAAACGAATAAACAAATCTCTACCCACGATGTTACTCAGTTACGTCGACGTCATCATCGACGTTCGCGATAAAATATCTAAAGTACATGAAGTAGAAATCACCTGCGTTGCCTGACAACGGTGGTGACCATATTGGTGACCATATTAATGATGAACCAGCGTGAGGCTGCAGTTTTCCGCCTCATTCTTTACGCATATCTAAGAAGTTAAATATATCGCAAAGTCAGTGACGAGTCCTTAGATGACGAAGGTCGCACCGCGAAAGCTTGTTTGCTTTTTTACAGCGCTTGTAGAGCGCTTGCTTCTTTTTACTTTTCCAATTTTGTTAAAAACACAAGAAAAGGGAAATATATTGAAAATCAATAGCCCGGGGCGAATGATTTCCAAGTTTTTAGACAGTTTAACTAATGCTACAATAGACTGTAGGTTTTTCATTAATCAGAGCGGACTTAACCATTAATTTAGTTCTTTCTTATTGTTGAACATCTTCATATCGCCATGTGCGCGAACGGTTGGCATTCCTGGTGCTTTCGTAAACATACTGTACCGATATACCTTCAGTATATTCCTGGTGCTTTCGTAAACATACTGTACCGATATACCTTCAGTCGTCTTTCCTTTTTTTAGGTGATTTTATGCAAATTTTCTAAAATTAGAAGCACGGTATATTTCCCTCTTCGGTTGACAATTGTCAAAATCTGTTATAAGGAAAAGTTTCCTCGTAAGCAGTAATCGTAAACTTTCCAGCTTGCTACCGGCATTAAATGACCTCACTTTAGAAGAAAACGTGAGATATTTCCTATTATTAAATTTAAATTTATACCGCGCAGTTTCTATAAAAATATTCAACTGCGCCTAATGTATGCCTAATGTATGTTTTCTTTATTGACCTCCTTCTACAAGAAGGAGGTCAATAAAGAAAAAACCTCGGTAAGCGTTATTGCCTAATAATAACTTCTTTAATTAAATTACTTTCAAGAATGGGTATTCCAAACATCAAGAAACGCTGCAATGAAAAAATAACACGTTTTATTTGGGCTGCAGACAAGATACAGCTTTCTTCACTTTAAAAGTTTCTTTATGTATTCGATATGTGACAAACTTAATTATTGATTGCACATATAGTCACACCGTTGACTTTTCTCATAAATTTTCAGATTCTATTCTTAGTTACTTGAGAAAAGGAACTGAAATAACTAACTCAACAAATAGACTTGACCACTTAAGTTTAAAATTCTGATTCTTTCCAGGCAGCTTATGGAACACGTTTTTATAACCATCTTGTTTTTTTAAAAAGGGAACCCAATAAATAGTTGATTTCAAAGATCTCGTTTAACACTTAATGCTACTAGTTCAGTGGTCTACATTTCAAATAAATTATGGATACATGGACGATATAGACACCAACGTCCTTAAAAAATATGCGATATAATCGCAACTCTTCGCTGTTTTAACAATACCTCCGGTACGGCAGTCGGCAACGGAAGACTGGTGACAAGAGCTGAAGCAACTTCGCCCCAGCTTTCCTCCACAAATAGAGGGCAATTGTAAACCGGCAAATCACTTTGCTGTTTTTCGACTTTTGCTGATGGTGCCCGCGATCTTATAACCTCTAAAGGCTTTAGCCAAACGATTGGCAGATCGCAAACGTCATGTAACTTGGGGGCTTCAATGATGCATCCTCTACCACCGTCCCATGATGCTCCATTCAATTTCAAGTCTTTCAAAAAAACACCGCGATCTGGCGGAGAAGTGGGTGAGAAATTTGGATCCAATATCTGCGAAAGGAATTAAAAACGCGTTTTATCATTTGAGAGCCATGCTGTCACACAAAGGCCGATTTTTTTTTCTCCTTTCAACCACAATCCTCGTCAAACTTTGTCAAGACACTTCTCTACCCTTTCTTAACGTTATTGTTGCTTTTTTTTTTTTCAGGCGGTCTAAATGCCCCGTCGCCGACATTGACTAGAGGGGAAGGGGGAAAACGTGACGAGGACGGTAGCCAAGGTATTTCTGTTTTAAGGAAGAGTTGGTAATTTGATCTAAAAAGAGCCATTCAGTAACACTCTCTTGCTAATGCCCTACATTATCAGGAAGATAAAATCTTTGTAGCTGATAAGCTCGTCTCTTCCCGTTAACTGGTTGCTAAAAAATGTCTTGATACTGTATGGCCATGTGTTATCCAGTCGTTTCGTACCGAGTCGCTTCGTATCTAAATTCAGTCGGTTCGTACCCAGTTTGAATCGGTTCGTACCCGAACCGATTATTACCTATCCTAGGTCAAGTGTTGATCACTTTTAGGAGATAAAGAATAAAAGGATAACTGGAAATCGTTACCTCAACCGAAAACTCCAGCACGTACACAGATTTGATTGCAGAGCGAGCGTGATCCATTAGTACGCATGCCAAAAACGCCTGAGGATGAGCAAACGCACCAAGGCAATATGAACAGGGCTGAAGAGACGAAGGCAGCAAGTATGAGCACAGAGCTTTCACTTGGGACTCCAAGGCTTCTAACCACCTAGCTAGACTGATATCTCGGGCTCTGCCAAGCAGCCATCCTGACGGAGCAGCATGGCGTCCTAACGACAACGCTACGTTAAACAGATCAGGAGTAAAGGCGACATGTCCACTGCACGCGTTTATAAGGAGTCCAATCTCTCTTGAAGCGCTTTCGTGCAGATTTTGGAAGTAGAGGAGTTCTCGTTGAATAAATGACCCAATAGCTGTGGTTTCTTCAATCGCCAAGCTGTGGGACTTGATGAAGTCTAAAATGTTGGTGATTTTATTCAACGTTTCCTCAGCAACTGACTTAACTTGGTTTTCAATCGAAAGGGTGGTAGGTTGGTGTCTTGTGCAGAGTGCCAGACGATCCGCGACAACACTGCAGGTGTGAAATGAAATCGGTTAAAAGCTCGAATGTTAATATTATGATTTTACACCTAACGTGGGAAGAGGAAAATTGATGGCTAAGGACAGAGAAGACTGACATAGATCGTAAATGAGCAGCTTGAAACAGTTACAGGAAGATAATGGTGCACAAACCTGCTAAGTTTCAACTGGTAAGCTGAGTAGCAAACGCTAGTAAGACCAAGTTGCTGACACGATAAAGCTTCAGGTAAATCGTCCACGTATGTATCAACTTGTTCACATGTTGATGTCTCTTCGAAAGCATTCTATAGGAAAATTAAACGAAAGCTTTTAAAAAAAAAAAACTACTCAAACGGAAGTTGAACCGTCCTACAATTTCGATAACTTGCACAGTGAATGGGAGCTTAATCGTTTAGAGGAAGACAAGCAAAAATAATTGATTACCTGGAACACTTCACCTAGTCCTATCTGAGAAACAATGAAAAGGTGGAAAATATTTGGGGTTTAATTTGGCGAAAGGCTTGATTGGAGTAGGGAAAAGGAAAGTTAGAGGCGATAAGTTATATTACGTTGAGACAACTTAACCCACAGAACTGTTATTATCTTATGACAAAGAAAAGAATGTTCACGAGCGTGAAGCAGACTTCTTTAATGAAAAGAAGTAAATACGAACATGAACGGTTCAAAAGCCACAGTGATCAACTCTGAAGAATTTTACAAAGGGGGAGGACGAACTAGTTTAAAATGAAAGAGACCCGAAAATCAGTCAACAACCAAACTAAATCAACGCACCATTTCCAAATTTTCAGTAGTAACAGAGTTCGTCAGGGACCTCACAGCATTCAAATCAAGGCCATTAGTCACGTGACCACCGTAAGCAGTATCCCCCAACATGACTTCCACAGCTGCAGGCGGCAACAAACCATGACTAACTTGTGACAGATAACGTAAAGCTTCTAATCCTGCCAACAAATCTGTCTGAGACCTTGAAAAAGAAACAAAAGAAATCTCCTTTTTTCGGAATCTAAGGAACTGTAACATCCTTAGAGAAAATTGCGAGGGGAGACAAATTAAAGTCAAAATCTGGGCAATTAAACGTATCAACATTTTTTTTTTTTCACTATTGTTTCTAGACACAGGGAGACTAATAAAAACACTGATATAGCAGTTCGAAGGTTCAAAACAATATAATGATCGGAGAGGTCCACTTCTTGTACGAAAAAACTACAATAAGTAAACATTGACTAACCACTTATATGGACAGCTAAAGGAACAATGGCCAAATTTTCTCCTTTGGAGAAGTGCAGTATGAAGATATGCCAAGGTAAAAATCGCACTGGGAGGAACATCACTCTATCAAATGGAAACAAATACAAGTTAAAGACAAATCCTAAAATCGAGGCACCGTATTTCCTTAGCACCAAACAGAAAATACCGGTACCCATGACTCAAAACACGCTACAGCATTGCTTTGTACGATTTTTAATCGCTCACTGATACCTATAAGAAAACGCAAATGCTTGCTTCACTCCTGCATAAAAATGGTAAGCGCAATCTCCATGAGGTAATCTCTAAGTATTTGTAAGAGTCGTAAAGCAATGGGTGAGTGCTTTAAGATAACGTCAAACAACAATATGGAGTACACAACCGTGGTTGATTAGTTCACGTTTCAAAGCGCCGTGAGGGAGGTCAAGGTCTCAAGCTCCATACCAGACCAACACTCGGTGACTTGAAGTATCTGAGGAGAATCTACTTCCTTTGCTTTTTCATCTGCAATGGTTAGACGTTCTAGTATTCTCGGATTAGGACAATAAACCGAAGGCCCCGTCTCCGCATACTTCTCACAAAGAGTAGGGAACAGAACTCCTACTGTTTTGGTTTGGCCTTCTTATCGGTTATCCAGGCCCCTCATTTAAACTAGCTAAAGCTGAACTGGGCCAGCCCGTCCAAATATCGTAAATTAATAAATAAAAATACGCATGGGATTCATGGTGCTTGCATTAACAAAACGCCCAGTATCGAGAGTCCTCTACCTTAGAAACTGATTCCTTCGCTGCTTCGCCCCAAAGAGGCACGCATTTATTCAGCGATCCTGTTGCCACTTGACAGTTTGTCCTGACTGCGTCTCTAAAATTTTCCTGCGCCTCACACGCCAACTTGAGTCCTCGGTGAATAATGACAGCAGGCAGCGGACAACCGATATCCGTACGAGTGGTCAGCCACAACCGGAATTCGGGGTGAACAACAACATCTTCGGTCAAACCGTTTTTCGTCCTATCATCACAGTTACTTTCCATATCATGCCTCTCTGAGTCGCGCTCGGTGTCCATCACCGGTGAATTAACAATTGTCTGCAAACAAAAGCACAAACATTAATGGAGCCATTCTATTCTTTCGCGTACACTTAATTGTAAAGCCTTACCCTCCCCTTGGCGATAATACCTACCAGAACGAAATTTTGGCATGAAATTTGGGCCAATATGCTTTGCTCCCAGAAAAAAAAAAGATACATACTTATAATATTATTAGGATTTCTTTTGTATTCAGACCTCAATTTCGTGCATAAGTTCGTCAGACCAGCAGGTCGCCAGATGACAGTTTTCAAGAATAACCCAGCATCCAGTGTTGATACCACGCCTCACAGCCGTCAGGGTCTTCTCCATGCTGTCTCGTTCGCCGAGGGTAACTTTTAAAAGGGGCGTGTCTTTCCCTCGTGCACGGGCAAGGTTTATTACATCAGTTACCGGGTCTATAAAACAAAACAGAGCATGACAATCTAAAATAGCCATGTGTAAAACGCAAGGAAAACCAGCCTAATACCTTACTTATACAAAAGCTTAAACAAGTTAATGCTGTCAAGTTGTCGCGTCAAAAATTTTCCCTGATCATCACAAACTTGACCTCTTGCTTTGAAAAAAGCATGTAAATCGCGAGTAGAGGGCAAATCATTTACAAGCTTCGAACGCAACATTCCAAGTGGGTTATTACGCTAGTGAACCAATAATAAGTGTGGTTTACTAGTCTTATAAAATAGTTATGGATGGATAAGACCATTAAGCCAAGTCCAAAGGAATCAAAACGACCAATTGAAACAACGGGAGAACTCAACAATGAGAACTCAAGGTAAAAAAAAAGAAGGAAACTACGAGACGCGAGGGGAAAAAAAGGATGATAAAGACGCGAATGGTTTTAGGTTTGAATGTGATTAGTTGAAAGACTGGCGCGCGTTTTCTGGACCAATCACCTAACTAAATTAAACAGCATAAAAGAAATTCTGGATTATCATCGACAATCAGTTGAAACTTGTTTCAGGTTATCATCCAGGATGGGAAACACTCCCAGTCGCCTCATTCTAAAGAGACTGTAAATCACTTATTTGTACAAACTTAACAATGATATCAAGAGTTCCATGTTTCTCAATAATGTCTGACCGTGAATCTTACAGTAAAACATATTACCTTTTAACACATTTGCCTCTCCTTGCTCTAGAATGTTCTGAGAAGGCAGCAGGAAGACTGCTGGTCGAGATCGACCAGTGACGTGGTATACTTGATCCAGGTCGTACCCTACGGGTCGTATCATATTGGCTCCCATTTGATAAAGAACGATCTCTTGGCAAACATGGAATAACTGAAACAGGCATGGAAACAAAGACTCAGATGTTATCGATTAACAAATAACGCGACAGGGTTCGAAACATGTAATTAAACCAACATTGCATGCAGAGCCTACCTGATCTAGTTTGAAGGTTTTCCATAGCAGGGCTTTCTGAAAGATGGTCAGATGAGCGTAATCACCAGGAGTGGCACTGAGAAGTACAGGAGGCAACTGCAAAAGGGAAATGAAGACAAAAGATTCATCACATTAATGTGATGTCTGATTATTGTAAAAGAACAAAACGAAAGCAATTGCAATTGAAGTTTCTTACATTGAAATACTCCTGCCACTGATGTGACTGTTCTGCAACGGACCGCTTCAATCCATTGAAATCAGGAAGTCGCTCAAGGTCACTCACAGATTCCCAAACCTGGAATAATGAGATAGAAGTGACCACAATTTAAAGTTGAATAGACTCTTTAGATAGGCAAAACCACAGGATGAGACGACCCATGAAATGAGAACACCCGTGGGATGGAAAAACTTGCCAGATGAGAAAAGAGACCATAAGGCGAGAACGCCACAAGACAATACAAGCGGAAAGATAACCGCGAGATGAGAAGACCTGCAGGATGAGACCAGCTGGATGATGAGAATCGCGGGGTGGAAAAACCCGCAGGATGAGATGAAATGCGAGACGAGACGATCCATCCGTGTGATCAGAAGACCTGCAGGCTGAGAGTACCCAAGAAATAAACAGATCCACGGTATGACAAGATTCCCGGGATGAGTAGATATACGGATTGAGAAGGTCCGCGTAACGAGCAGACCCACTGGATGAGAAGACTCGCACAATGAAAAGACCCGCAGGATAAGAAGACCAACGAGATGAGTAGGATTAAGGAAAAAGAAGGCCTTGAAGGATGAGAAGACCCAGGGGATGAAAAAACCTACGGGAAGAGTAGGCCTGCGGAATAAAAAGAGCCGCGGGATGATAAGACCTGTGGGATGAAAGGACTTGGGGGATGTAAAGAACTATGTGTTGGGAAGACATGCGAGATTAGTAGGTCCGAAAGATGTGAAGACGGCGGGTTGAAAAGATCCGCAGGGCAAGAAGATCTGCGGAATGAGAAGATCCGCAGGCTAGATGACCTACAAGATAAGAAGATCTCGAGAATGAGAATGAGATAGATAAAACTTCTCTACCTTCTGTGTGACCCAAGGCGGCTTTGGCACTTCGCTTTCGTCAGAATGATCGAATTCGGACCTCCCCAATACCTTGGTAAGCAACTGCCATTCGTCACGTGACACAGAACCACTGTTCATCAGTTTCTCTGCCGCCAGTAAGAACGCAAACACGTGATTGTCACCTAGACAACAGGAGAAATGTATAAGAGACGACCATCAATTTAAATTAATCAATTCAATTCTTTTGTGCTCCACATCAATAGCTATTTGTTAAGACCATCATTCATTTAACTAAGCTGCAGGAAGATAATTGTCAAACTCAGGGTTCAAATTACTAACCCTGCGGTTGGTGAAAAGTTTTCCTGAAATTTGACTCTAAACCACCTAACAATTTACGTGCATCTTAACTACCTTACAAATATCACCAATTGGCACATGCTGCATGAAAAAAATCAACAATTGTTACCCATTTTTTCTTAAAACGATATCCTTTTCCAAGTTTTGTATTAGAATAATTATTAAAAACTTGAAGGATGCTAAAAAAAAGTAAATGAAAACAAAACAAAAATTTGAATAAATAAAAGAATGATACCTACTTTGAAAGAGACTCCAGGAGATACGATCAAATATTTTCCTGGACAGAGCAGTGATGAGTTCTGCTGCTCTGGCACCCGGTGAACCACTACTTTTCTTCCCGCGGTTTCTCTCAGCTATAGTGTCGCGGAAGAGCTGAATAAATGACTCCAGTGGAAAGCGATAATAGGGATGGAGTTCACACAACTCACTAACAACCGAGAACAACAATGCTCCATGTTGAGCCACAGGAAGAAAATCGTTTTGTTTCGCTAGTAGCTCTGTTTTCATCAACTAAGCAGGGAAAAAAAAAAAGATACGATGAAAGGTGATACTGCTTGAACACTTCACACCCGTCGAACCAGCACTCTCCCCTCCCCCCCCCTTTCACCATGTCACAGTTACATTCAGTTTCCACATCAACAAGTCGTTTAAGACATCTTGGCAAAATCAAAGAACGACTTCCTCTTAAGCTTAAATTTATAGGCCTCTTGTCTTCTACGGAGTTGTTTCTTAGGTGGATAATGAAGTTGTCTCTTATTTGAAAGAAACCCATGACCAGGAGTTTACAGCAGTAGTGGACAGACGCCAAAGAGGTAAGAGAAAATACAAAGGGACAAGCACGGCTAAGGCTGGACAAGTTTTTTTTTTGTCAAACCATGTTGCCTCGTGTGTTAGTCTGATGGTTCACTGAGGAAAGCAGGAACAAAACACTATTACATTGAAGGAATATGGGCAATTCCCGACAGAGAGAGATCACGGACTCTCCACCTCCAGAAGGGAAAAAGATCAAAATTAAAAATAAACTAGTAAAGCTGGTGAAAAAATGGCTCACCTCAGCCTCGCCGCATCTTTCTTCTGCCGTGGATATCATATCTTTATTCTGTGTCACCGCATCCAACATAGCAGAGTCTTTTAGCAGAGGACCACTGAGGCTCACAACCTTATCAAGGATGACCTCCTACCCAAAAATAAATGTGCAATAAATGATAGGTACTAAATAACAACTATATTAAATTGGCAAACTGATATTTAAACCAAGCAACACAATATCCCGAGTTTACAATGTGATCTTGGACCAAGGGAAAAAGATGGAATGAATAGAAGGTGAATGAACATCAAACCTTGGCATTATTGATCTGTTGCTTGTGAAGACCAACATCCCTATCGATCGACCTCAGCTGTCCGTCCAACTCTGGTCTTTCAAGCCGTAACGTGTCCCCTAACAGCGTTTCACAGATTCCCTCCCGGCTCACACTCATGTTGATGGTACACGCCTTGGAAAGTGGAAGCGGACATTGCCCTTTACCGGGTATGAACAAGGGCAAGGAAGAACTGAGATAGAGCCGGAAGGAAGGCTTATAGTCCACGGCAGTCTTGCCAATAATCACTTGAAGGTTACCGTCAGTACTGGTGAAGGTTTGACGGGTAAGGAGCAGCTCCAGCGTTTTGTTCCAGCGTCGCCTTTCGATGTGGGTGACCAGTGTCACTAGTCCTTTCTTAACAGCGGCTCGCAGTTTTTCGACTATCACATTATAAGTAGTTAGAACAATTAAAATACGATTGACACAAGGATAATGACTAGCCTTGATCAATACTATTCAGTAACCTCGCCGTATTTTCTAACACTGCTCTGAAGATGCAACCCCTTACATTAGCACCGTAGGATATCAGTTGTATGAAAAAAAAAAAAGCTCTTACACTGCTATTTTCGGTGCATTTCTGGGGATATCCACGCAAGGAACTCTAAAGCTTTTCATTAAATTTTGTGGAGTATCTTTCCCCTCAACACATTTCTTAAAGTAAATACATATCAGAGTCGTTGGACTTAACTTCTTTGTTGGCCTTACTGTAAGAGTCGAATGTGAAGATTCCATTATCATCCTTAAAACGTTGAATAAAAAAGTCGGCAACTCTCTGGCAATCGCCATGCAAAGAGATTTAAACTAGCAAAAGAATACCTGCGGATTACCAAGTCGGAAAACAGAATATACCTAATAAAGGATCATCAGCTGAAACGACTAGGATTTGTCCTTCACTCAGATTTAACACTGGAGAGGGACCAAGTGATATCGGCAGAGGAGTACTGTCGATCTAAAACCAAAAGAGTGCATATAATAGTGATCAAAACAAATTCATGAACCCGAGCAATAACTTGTGTTAATTGTACCTGTATTCCCATTGCTTCAGCCAGCTTGTCTTTCAACATCTTGTCACTCAAGCCCGTCAAAGCACTGCCCGCTGTACGCTCCCTCCTGGAAGTGGCCTGTGTCTCCCCCTCTGGAAAACTGGATTCTTGATCGTCTACAAGGAAATAGACAGATACAACTTGCATCGGTTAGTATCAGACTTGTACCAGATTTAATATCCGCCATTTTCGTATTGTATTTCCAAGGGTTTGCTTTAAAACAAAATGATCAAATTATAAGGGAATCTTGTATTTGCTTTAGAGCAATACCTCATTAAAAAGGTCACTCCAGTCGTTTCGCATGATATAACTTCAAAATGTCTACCGGTCTCGAATTCGTATTAGTAACGATACATTTCTGTTCGCAGCGAAAATACTTTTTTACTTCACAAACCACCTTTGAATTGTCCCTCACTAGCCTAAGTATAAAATTTACTTTCTTAAACATGCTCCTACCCCTTACAAACACATTCGCTCAAGAATTAATTCATCACTGCTAATGTCTGAGCTGAAAAAACAAAAAAACAAAAAAGATACCGCCCCCCGATTAGCTCAATTGGTTAGAGCGCCGGATTGTGTTGTGCGGTCGAGGGTTCGAGCCCTAGCCGGACCAATACTCATGGTCTTAAAATAACTGAGGAGAATTTGCTACCTTTCTATAATATCAAGAAATGGATAGATATTCTAGTCTTCTCGGATAAGGGCGAATAAACCGTAGGCCCCGTCTCCTGCAGGGCTAGGGGTGGGAGACTTTAATTTCCCACGCACGAGATTACTGCGTGGTGGATGTCCTCCTCTAGGGTGAGATGGGTGGGTGTGACAGGACCCCATTTAAACCAGCCATTAGCTGAACTAGGCTACCCTGTATAAACATTCGCAGATACAAATACAAATACAAATAGATCATGGCTATTCCACTGAAGTGGGTCGTTATTAGAACAGAATATGTTTCACGTTCGTCCACGTGATTGTACATTACCATTTTCTCTCAAGGACTGTAGAAACTGGTCAACTTCATTATCAAAGAGCTGCGGATCTGATTCAAATTCTTCCGCAGGTGCCTGTTCAAGATGAGCATCATCCAGAGTCTGGGAGGCTTCCATGTCAACGGATGAGCCTCCGGACGGGCGAGAGGACCGGTCTGACTGTCTGGTGTCTGGACGACTGCTGGCGGCGCGATCCACCGCTTCACCTATGTCAAGTAAGGTCTTGATTAGAACTTTTTACAATAGCAATGAAGGATCATTAAAGGGAGATAAACAAAAGACTTTGTTACGTGTCAAAATACTATTATATCCAAGGTTTTGACACGAGTTAAATAAACTGAGTGTCGAAACTTACTGGTAAATTTCCAAAAAAAATGATCACACATACAACAAGAATGATGGTACGTTTTGAGCTCGGCAAAGAAATAGAGAAATATGTTTTTCGTCTTGTCTCGAGCTTGGGACAAAGTAAAAATTCTGAGTCCCTACGAGGAATCGAAGCTCAGACCTTCGGATTCCGCACCCCGATGCTCATAAACAAATAAAGACAACTAACTAACAGTCAAGGCTCGTTGTTTAAGAACCTGTTGCTATTACAAGGTGCATTTCTTTGAGAAAATTATAAAAAGCAATCGAGATAAGCCAAAGGAAGCCAGTCAAAGTTCTAGGCTCTATTGTCTTTTTATCAACAGATAGATCGATGAACAGGTTTTACAGAAAAATACCATAACACCAGCAGTACACATATGGTTTGGAGTACCTTGATGCAACGCTCTTATCCATAACTCAGCCTGGTTATGAGGATCAATCAAAAGTGGCCATGCGCGTGTCCTATCGTCTCCACAGCTTCTCAGTATCAAAGCGTTGTTTACCGCCTGTTCAGTCATGGGTAGGTCATTTCTCCTCCAGTCCTCTAATTCGTTGGGAGCCGACAATACTGTCTTCAGTGACACGCCCTCTCTGACAGGAACAATGTTCGTAGCTATGGTTGACACCAGAGTGGATTGCGTGGCAGGACGGGAGTCCTTCCCTGTGTAAACACACAGATTAAGCCTTAGTGACGATTTGTCAACCAAGTAACAATAAGTTATTGCTTTCAAGACAATTTACCCGATTAAAATATAAGCAAGTATTTATAAATCTCAGAAAACTGGTTATCGTCAATTAGTCTTGATATGCCTGAGAAAATTCCTTACCAACTCCCTTCAATATACAACACACGCTCACTATGCAAATCTATGAAAATTACCCCCCAACTTTTGTCACACAGGGATCCAAAGTTTTGGTGTTTAATGCAAAAAAGCAGAAAATCATCATTTTTGATGCGTGTTCTCCAAATTGTGTTCAACCTAACAGCTACCAACACCTGTCAGGCTTACGTGTATCAGGTTCTTCAAGATGTTTGCATTCCTTTCGGAAATCGTCCAGTACCATGGACGATAACGTACGAAAGCCCTGAGGAGGCGCTCGGAACACCCCGTCACACACCCTCAGCCAATCAGCAAACAATTCGTCGCGTGCTTCAGGGATTAGTGGACCCAAGTAACATACTGCAGCAGCCGCAACTAGGGAATCTCCAGGTGCGGAGGTCAAATGCTGTTTGGCGAGTGATCGACCACTGTGCCAGAGATTTGAGTAGGAGGATAGGCTGTCGACGAGCGCAACTCCTTTGGATTTTATTGTTTCAATGTTCTGTGAAGAAATTTTACCAAGAAAGTCAGCTAACATCATAAATGTATGTTTAAATCCGCTCGTTTACGTTGCTAACAGCCCAGGTAGGTTTCTCGTTGCTAGAAATATTTTTTATCTCTTGCCTTTCTAACAAAAACAAACAAAAGCAAATTAACGAAGGGACGCTGGAGAGAAGGTTCACCGGGTGTACTATTTAGTCTCAAAAATGCATCGAGATCCCCTCCTCTGAGTTTGATAACAGAGTGATATCATAATTTTCATGAACAACAATTAATACTTACTTTTGTGGACAGTCAATGAAAAATACAAACAACGAGAAAAAAACAAAACCAAAACAAACATGTCACTTAGAAAATTAACGTGAACATCACCAGCAAAACTACAGTACATTTGCTGTGTAAGCGGGCTGAATTTAGATAACCTACTTGAATCTGTTTTTCAACTGTTCTTGAATGCTTTACGCTCTCTTTGTACCGCTGAATGTTCGACTCAAGCTCTTGTTTGATGGCGTTGCATCTCACTCTCATCTCTCCCAGAATGGACTTTGCCTTCAAAGTTGAAAACAAGCAACGAATTAAAGAAAAATGCAAAAAGTTTATCACGAGCCTCGAGCAAAGAAAACATCCTGTTCCCCCAAGAGACTTCCGATTTTGCGGTTGGATGGACTATCGACTATGCTGCACAGATTTCGCTGACTAGCGAAGCCATATCCTTATTAACATGGAGTTTAAGAGTCAATTCGTTCAATGGGAGACCATAATTTTTTTAACAAACATTTTCATACTAAAAAGAACACGAACTTTGCTGAAGAAGAGAAATAGCAGAGTGTACGATGTTTCTCGGACTGTTACCCTGATCTCATATTGCCTTGACTTGATCTTAGTGTTCCTCAAACGCGATAACATCACCTTTAGTACCTGACCTAACTCTTGTTGCTTTATCCACAATTAAATGAATTCACCATGATCTTTGACATTTTGAACTTGGTATCATCTGTTTTGCGTGTGTGGAGGAGAAGAAACCCCTCTCCAAGGAAGGAAATCGCTTCCTTTTAGTTTTAACTTTTGTCTTACGAAAATGGGCTGTGCTAACAATCAGAAAGTTTATTGGAGCAAATTAAATTGTCCTCCTCATTCTACTTTTTAACAACAGAAGCAAAAGTTCTCGAATAAATTACAGCTGTTCCAGATGTTCAATACCTCTTCGAGTTCCTGCTCTGCTTTCTCCAACTGCCGCCGTTTGGGTTTCAGACCTCTGTGTGCTAAACAGAAATCATAAACAGCTCGCACCCACATGCACAAAGACTTTGCGGCCATACTACCATCTTGGACGACATCTGCTTGGAATAACGGGTTGTAATAAAAAGTTTTGAGTCCGTCGAAAATCGAATCTTGCATATCGGTCATGTTGTAAAATTCCAAGTCTTTAAAGAAGTTGTTTCGGTTGAGTAGAAGCTTTCCTTCCTCCCATCTGGAGCGAAAATCAAGAGATAATATTGGGTCAATAGGCTGATTAAAATGAAAGAGAACTGATATTCTTAAGTGAGAGATAAGGACGCTGCAGGTACTTTATGAAGAGTTATTTCCAAAACAACATTGCACAGTGAGGACTCCCAGAAAATAATAAATATGCAAACTATTCTGAACAAAATGCGCTAACATTACACAAACCCCGAACATAATCATAAACCAAAAACCGAAAAAAAAAAGAAAAAAAAACTACATACAGACACAACGTAGAGAAAAAGTCAAAATACAAAGAAAAACGTATCGCCCCCCCCCCCCCCGATTCTTTTCTATGGAATGCAATTGATCTGATAATTCACGAGAAGGCAGTGAGGAAATAAATAACAAATGCTTGTATGCTTGATTGATGAGGTGGTCATTTGTGATTTGGATTAGGTCAAGGAAAACAAGGGCCTGAAATTCGGAGAAAAGATGCTGAACTGACAGATCTTGGAGACCTATGTGAGGACATCTGCTTGCCAAGTACTCATACCAAACGAAACCATAAATCCGGCATCTTGCGCAGGATGCCAAAAATTCACCAAAAGCTACCTGAAGATGAAATAATGAAAAGTAGGTAAAGGTTTGGTAACTTACGTCTGTTCCTTTTCGAACATGAGACAAATTGCATTCACAACAAGAGTAACCAGCGCAGGTGGCGTACGGTAACTTCTGATTTCCTCCAGGTCGTGAATATTTAATGAGTCGATAGCCTTCCACGCCGCATCAAATAAGGGGTTGACCTGGAAATTAAAAAGCAGGACTTGCTTAGCTCTGGCGAAAAATATTGTCATCCCACTTAAAACCAAATCGCAAATTTGAAAGTAAGACTGACTGGATGTCAAACAAAGAAACCAATAACTGATAAATGATAAGATTTAAACTCTACTTCAGTGAAACAGATTGGCATTATGTTCGGAGGAAGTTAAATTCTTCTGGTCGCTTCAGGTTGTATGGATCGGGATTAACTTCAGCAGCAAGGGCAATAAGGCTTTTAATAACGTACACAATCGAATTTGAGCCAGTCAAAGATTTCTAAGAAAAAATTCTTCTCCACACCTTTTCAAATTCCACTTGTGCCTCCTTCCTTAGGATTTCAATGGGTATCTGCATTTCCTCGATGTCCTTTTCTTGCTTCTTACACCTCTCCTTAGCAGCAGTGAACTCATTCTGGCACGCTTCCACGGTCTCTTGCCTCAACTGTATGTCCGTCTTGGACGCTTCGTACACTGGTGCTAGGTTATCCAATTCTCGCTGCATCTTGTTTAAGCTGTGAGTAGCTTCGTCCATCCTTTTAATCGCCTTGTCTAGGTGAGCCACCTCTTCCTGCAATGCAATGAAACGTCAAAAAAATGGGATGTTAGTTAGGATGAGGGCTTTCTAGGACGTGCTAAGCAGCGAGGTTACCCTTAAAAACTAAATTCATTAGACGGATCGGTCATATATTCTGCTGGGATTTCCGAGAAAAATGATACTTAACAAATAGCATGACGGAGATTGTCGAAGCCTATTAAGGCCTTTTCAGGGATGGAGTCTCTAATAGGAGTAGCTTGATTCTCCCTTGTCAGTGAGGGATTGAGTCTCCAACAGGAGTTGCTTGATTCTCCCTTGTCAGTGAGGGATTGAGTCTCCAACAGGAGTTGCTTGATTCTCCCTTGCCAGTGCTCAATGCTGGGGTCCATGCCCATAAAAGCTACAGGTGTGAGCACTGTTACTCTCACTGAGATTATTGAAGCCTACTAAGGCCTTTTGAAGGATGGAGTCTCTAACAGGAGTAGCTTGATTCTTCCTTGCTAGTGCTTGGTGCTGGGGTTCATGCCTATAAAAGCTACAGGTCTGGGCACCATTACTCTCACCGTTACTCTCGCAGAGATTATTCAAGTCTATTAAGGCCTTTTGAGGGATGGAGTCTCTAACCTTTTCTTTCGCGCATAACCTTCTGCAGATCTTCCGAAACAGGTCAATAAAATCCAAATACGTATCTGGCGAGTAAAATTTCAACGCCTTAACCCCGTAGATCCTTTCCACCATGTTTCTAGAAGAAAGATGCACGTGAGCCATAATTGAACATATGGCCACGGATTGCAAGTCTCGCTCACGTCGTTTTAATGGTACAAGACTAAGTACACTTTCATCTTCATCAAGCAGCTTCTCTGCCACACTAACTAGCGCTTCGTGTGGCCAAGCCCTGTAGACATCAACACAACAGCTTCTTGTTACCAAGGTTGGAAACTTATACAACTGATTCTTTTCTAGGGAATTGGACAGCTCGAGCTTTTTGTACTTCAAACAGACGAAAACATGGATATGTGATTTGACTCGGCGAAAGTACCGCTCTTGAGCAATATCTTGGTTCTCCACTCTGCGTGCTCCTCTTTTTCCTCCGGGAAGAAGCTGGTTGGAGATCATAGACAGCTCATTGTGTGTATAAAGACCAGGACATGTACCTAATATAGAACAACAGATAGAAATACGAGTATGGATGATATGAGGCTTCTATAATTACTATCAATCGTTAAGCACGAGTTTACCTAAAGCACAAAAGCATAGCATCAACCAAAAAAACCTCTAATACTTGGGAGCTGAATAGTTTTTCTTTAATAATTAGTCAGCAAAAAAGATATTTTGTTTTCCAGCTTCAGGTCACAATCTTTTACCTTCTGCCATTAGTGAACAGATGTCCTGCATGGATTCATCATCAACACCTTCTGGTACAAACAGCGCTACAGGTTTCCCTTGAAGTCCAGCAATAAATGATGCCACTTTGATCTGTTGTCTGAAGTCCTCCTGGCTCTGAAACTGGCTTCGCTGCAGCTCAAACAGCTAAAATGAGAAACGAAAGAAACTTGTCAAGACAATTTAGCAAGATATGGTGAAAATACAAGATTACAAGGTAGTGGACTGCCATTACGGTAGAATAAAAAAGAGCGGGGAAGGCACAGTGAGCGAACAAGAAAGTTAGGGAGCGAACAGACGCGGAACAGACACAATCGAGGCAGCCAACCATCAATCAACTGAATGACCAACCACGTGACCGACTGACCGAGACATATGGACGGAAGAACAGACGAACGAACAATCCAATCCAAGGAATGATCGTTAAACGTGATGACTTGGAACACTTTCCAAGTAACATTTACTTATATGATATGAAACAATATCATCCCTGATGCATAAAAATTCTTCTACAAACCTTGCAGCAAGCTGCATGTGCAGTGAGTCTTGTTAGGGTCCTTCGTCCGTAACCAAGATCCGATAGCAACAGCGCATGACCTCCTGGTGTGGCCTGGGGAATACAAAAAACATTGACTGTCATACTACCAAGTAAACTAATCAAATGCTGCTGAAAAAGAGTTTACAAACTTACATCAAAGAAAGGGGAAGGAGGATGCAGAACTTACCAATGCTCGACTCAAACGCACCGCATGATGAATTGCCTCGCGAAATGTCACCAAGCTCATGATTTTGGCACTGGACGACTCAGCCACTTGGTCATTGTATGACGTTAGACATCTCTTGATCCCTTGTTCCAAAATGCTCTCGGCACACTCCAAGTAGTTCTTACTTGCGACTTCACTGGCGCTACTCTCTCGTCCGGTCACAGAGACATTGAAATGCTTGCAGAACACGATGTCTGTCAAATCTTCTCCAGAGAAAGCCAGCTGCTCCGACGAAATCAAAGGACCATCGTACTTCTTGTCGTAGCTCAAACCGCTGGTGTCGTTAAACGTGACCTTGGCTTTTGCAGGCTGAAGGACCACAGTGTTTGCTATCAAACTCTGCTCTCTGCTCAGCGTTTCGTCCTCGGGAACTTCTTCTTCACCTAAGATTTCATCATTGCCATTTGGTTCTTTAGGAAAAATGTCATCATTCGCGACATTCTTTTCTGTGGTATATGCATCGATATCCTCCCTTGGGTCAGGAGTTTCTTGATTGGGAATGGCATCAATATCTTCTTCCTCTCCAGCGCCTTCATCGCTTAAGTCTTGTGGTTCACCACCTGGTAGTGTCGAAGAGTCATCCAATTGTAATGGTCCCTCAGACTTTCCAGTGGTTTGGATTTGCTCGTCATTAGCCGTAGGTGGGGAAGCATCTCTACCGGGCAAAGCGTCTGCAATAAACAAGATAGGCTTATGAAAATAGACCATTCCCGAGTTCTAAAAAACATTCCCTTTCGAAATGAAGCCAAATGTAAAACCTTCCTTGCAAAAATAAGCTTGATTTGCATAAACTTTTACATTCATTTTTCACACCAAAAGTCTTGCACTTTCCCTCACTATTGAACAGTGGCAATATGCATCCTGGAAATAGTTTATACCATGACAGATCCCGCTAAGTGCATAAAGGTAAGATCTGTAATTCGAAAGCGTCACGTGTAAGGTGTAAAGTACTGGAACAACGAGTCAGCACCAGCAAGCACCAAGTTACGTACCTTGAGAGTTCTTCTGCATCAGCGATTGCTCGACAGAGAACACTTCTGAGCCCAGCTCCGAGGTAGTCTTACAGAAAAATTCCTCAACGGTCTCATGCAACAAAGACGAGAACCAGTAGCGCTGTTCCTCGGTCAGAAGGCGATCACTATAGGTTCGAGTACTTTCGTGGCACCACAAGCGAAGAAGAGAACGAATCATTGGTGACAAAGCAGCGGGTGTCTTAGCGGACAGTCCAGACTCTATCGGGCCGTTTGTGAGAGAAGGCCAACTGTGAAAAAAAATAGGAGAACGTAAGCAGGAACCACGAAAATATCCCAGGACTCTGACGAAGATTTACTAATCTTGAATTTGACAGGCGAACAGGCGAATTTGAACGACTGCCCTGTCTCGATGATCTATGTTAGTTTTCCTTTATTCGGAATTGATGCATTCTGTCTGTCTGCCTTTTTTATTTTCTACATGTGAATGCCGATTTATACAGATCCAATACATAAGGGGAACTTGAAGAAGTTCACTTTGGCAAACGGGATTGACTGGAACACTCAGCATTTTACATTACAATGCCCTGGGTACAGATAACATAATCAGCGCGTAAAATTGAGAATGCCTCATTTCCTTCGTATCACCAATCATTAAAAATGAGGAGTTATGATTTTCATTGTCCTTCTTTCACGATTCATGATGGGTCCCTAAAGCTTTGAATACTGCCCATCCTAAAATGCACTAAGTACAACAGGACAATAGGAAGTCTTCAATCTTACGCACCTTCGTCCTTTACCAACATTCCCTCTTCGTTGTGACCTCTCCTTTCCAAGTATACTAGACTCACTCTTCACAGCGCCGATGGCTTCAACCTTCGCTTCCCCCTCTGAGTCTTTTTCTGTGTCAGCTCGCCTCCTCACTCGAGGTCTTGGCCGTCCACGGCTCTTGGATGAGAGAAGGGACATACCTTGCGCTACCCTGAACAACTCGTGCTGGGTAAATAGGAAATGAGGATGAAGCGGGGTGGGACGAAGTTCCCTTCGAATGATGTTGTACATCTTGATGGACGCCGAGGACAGCGCCTGTTAGGGAGACAGTTGGGGATATATGGATGTCAGATAGGGACGTAACTCCCACAAAATTACTCTCGTCGAATGGATAAGAAAATGACATAAACAATGACATTGACTAACCCTAATAGCTGACACTAACACTGAAATTGACAACAACACCATCAATAAGGCTGAGGCAGATGGTAACGTCAACATTTCCGTTGTCACCAGCACTATTTTTGACATTGACGGTTCCAGTGAGTCTCAAATAACACTGACACATACTCTGATAATGTCACTGGCTCTAATACCGACACAGGCACTAGCACTGAAAGATAGACAGACACAGAGAGACACTGATGTCTCCTAGTGGAAGTTTTCTGCTTTTCCTCTTTCTTACCTTGGCCAAATGCTCATGATGGCTTAGCGAATACGCTGGAAACTCTCCCAACCAGGCTTGAAATACTGACGAGTAAATAGTCTCCAAAGACTCAGAAGACAGGGGAAAGAATGACAAGACCGTCATAAGTCTAGACAGGCGATGGCTAATGGCATACGAAGCCACCCCTCCACAAGACGTACCTTCACCGGGTGGTACACAGGCAGCCATGAACTGGAGGTGTTGCACCCTGTACATGTAATGTCTCTGTTTGTTGTACAATGTTCCTAAGGAATCAAACACAAACACAAATATAACTAAGTAGATTATATCCCCTAAGTAGATTATATCCCCAATGATTACCTTGTGAGAGGATTTGTCTGAGAAGCTCAAGTGGAGGCTGAATTCCAAAAGTATCAGAGGCTGCATAGTTGAGATCATCAAGAAACATAAACTGAGTGCGGGACTTTGTAACGGGTGGATTCTTTGGAGGAGCAGCTCCTGGTATTGCCTTTGTAAAAGCTAACTGGCTCATCTCCTTCCGTTTAATCTGCTGTAGGCTATGTTCGATCGCCTCTTGGAACAGTTTCGAGGTCAGGCCAGCGGATAGACAGATTCGTGTCGAGTTGTAGCGTGGGTTGATCAAGTTCTGGAAAAAATATATCAGTGTATTGTGCGAATACAATAGAATCAATCAGTTTGGAGCACACCCAACTGGAGTGGCAGGGGAGTTTCCTTTCTGGAGGAAAGGGGAGAATAGTGAGCACGACCTGTTTTCATATCTAACAAACCACACAACCGGGAACATTACAAACCTGCACAAGTGAAGACTTTCCAATTCCTGATGGACCAACAAGCAGCACTGGCTGATGTGCAGATAACATTAGATCAATGAGGTAAAAGTAGCGATCCAACTGAAAAGTAAAAGAAAAAAAAATATACTTAGGACAACATACATACACATACACATACACACACACACACACACACACACACACAAACAAAAAAAAACCCAACAAGTGATGCCTCTCGGAAAGGCGACCGAATTTACCATATGAAAAAAAAAAAAGGCCATGAAGTTATGATCCAAATAGTAGAAAATTAATTTTCTTATTTAATCAAGCTTCTGTTGATGGTAAGTGTTGATACTTACAGACTCTTACAGGTCTGTACATAGTACAGCATAGCCCAAAAGCATTTTTAAATAAAGTTTAGAAACTTCAGCTGCCACTCGGATTAAGGTGTGTACTGTGACTGAGGTATTTTTGTCAACAGATTACTCAGTAACACTCTACATCGATTATTTAATAAGAATGGGCTGGGTCGTGTAGCGAGGATATGCTCATTTGGCTTACTTAAGATCACATTAACTAAGATTTTCAAAGAAATTACCTCGGTGATGACGGTGTAAGATGAGGGCAATGTCTTTAATTGTGATCCTGGCCTTCCTTCCCACTTTACTAAGCCACCTTTACTGAAGTCCAAGCAGTAGTCGTACACTAATCCATCAGGAGGTATGAGGAATGGATAAGGGCCAGCGGACAACAGTTGTCGAGCATGCTCATCAAATTTCTCAACATATCTTTTCAAACAAAAACATAGCGAAACAAAGAGTCAATCTGCACAATATTCAATACAAATACAATATAGTCATTTTGGCAAAGAAAAACAATTAAAAAGCCATTTTGGGACAAAGAATCAGTTTTCAATTGAAAGATGCTTAGGCTGATCTCGCCGGAATTGTTCAAAATCTGACATTTCAGAGGACATGTTTACTGGCCTGGAATCTTAGATAAAATTTTCAAACAATTTCGTAGCTTGCACAGCGGTGCTCGGTCGAGAAAGCGAGTACGACGACAATCGATATGCTTCCTTCTTTTCATAAAAAAGTGACGAGGTTCAGAATCGCAGATATGTTTGCTATTCCATAATAAAACGAAGATTAGATATTCCTAAAAGGGACAATGGGGTCAAAAGGGGAAAATGTAGCTCGTCGCTAAGAAATACCTTTTATGCAGATGACCACCAAAGGCCCAAATGAAGGCGAAAGCAAAGGAACTAACGACCCTTCCAGTGTCACTAGCGGAAATTCCTGAGCTGTGTCCGCTGCTGCCAGAACTCCCGGAGGTCTGTCGGTTCCTCTGTTTGATGATCTGGATTTGACTATCTTCATCTTCCCTTAGAATATGCCTATCGTAAATGGCAGAGAGGTAACGTAACAGTGACTGTACTTCATGCACTCCTGCGGCTGTCTTGGAGGGCTTGTTTATGGAACTGTACCCAGAAGTCAGTATTGGTTCACAGTGCTGACTGAGGAAGTCTAGGGTGGAATCCACCACGTGATCCATCAAACACGAGATGATTCCCAATCTGAAATTGAAAGAAAGTCATAAAAATCCACATTAATGTTACAATTTCGAGCGTACGTGCCCCTCATTATAACAGACCGGAATAAAATTCTGGACCCTGTATCATTCACAGGGGGTGCCATGTGCAGTTCTCATTCTTGCAGCAAGAATCTTTTCGGAGTTATTCGGTTTCCCTTATTCCACAAAAGACAATGACAGAAATTCCAATAAAATAGGTGGTCCTCTAACCCTCTATTTGTAATATCCCATCTTGCATGCGCCCCTCTCAGCCAAGACCTAAAAATTGGTTTCCATCCCACAAGTGATTGAGGACAGTAAAGCAGACCACAGCGCGTCACCAATGCTGGGGATACATGGTTGATTTCTGTCACCTCAAAAAGAATAGTCACAGTTTCTGAAAGAATCGAAAATAAACATAGCATGGCGTAAGAATACTTTGCTTTTTTTCTTTGTCTGATGTGCACGTGGTTAGAGGAGAACGGAAAGCGGCGCAGTAAGGACGAGTATAACTAGGAAAGGCAAAAGGAGCGCTCAAATTTATATTTTCACTTGACTTCCTACTATCACGCTTGAGTAGAATTGCTCATGTGATTAAGAGATGCACACGAGGTCGGGCATGGTATCATATCTCGCTATAATCACCTCGTGCGAGGTGATTGTAGCGGGAGGGCTGAATTTCAAAGTGGCTGCCCTACCTTTTGTCACTGTTTCCGAGGAAATGATAAACGCGAAAGTTTATCACGTGATAGTTCATCAAAATGCAAACAGCACAAAAGATGCTTCTAAGTTTGACAGAACACGTTTAAAAAAAAGATATGAAGTTTTCGCTTAATTAATCAAATAAATCTATACAAAAGCTTCCTTATCTTAATTGATACGACTAATCAACGGAACTGGAAAAAATGTATACTCAAAGCTTTCTTTACTTAGAGAATTTACAACAGAATTGGAAAGCACCTAAGGCAGTTATACTAAAATATGAAAACAAATAATTCATTTGTTCTTGAAGGACAAACAAATTATCATGTAGCCTGAACATTCAAATAACGTTTGCCTCCTTGAGTTTACGAAGCCTTAAAATCCACCTGGCTGAGCAATGGACTCTCCATTCGGCAAACTGAGTGCCCTTGTGGAATCCAACAGGGTCCCCATGCTCTCCAGCCAAGTGTCATCCATAGGTCCGTCAAGCACCAGCCATTTCTTAACGTGAGACAGGGAACCCATCATCCGCGCGATGCGTTGTTTTTCAGAGGACTGGCTCGAGAGAAGGTCGGCCATGGTATCGCATGTAAGAGTTGCGTCTCTGAGCCATTTAGACACCAGACCGTCCATCCACAGACCAGTCTCTGGGTGCTGTCTTCCAAACAACTGCTCAAAACAACGACATTTTAAAATTAGAAAAGGGCGTCGATTACAAAATCCGGCTATGTAGACAAGTTGGTCATACAATCCACTCAAAAGAGCCACAGGGGTTGAGCCTCCAGCGACCTCTGTTAGACTATCTCGTTTGTTGGAGAAGGAAAAATGCTCTCTTCGGTTAGAAGTATGAATCGATACCAGAAACGGTCAGGTTTGGCTGAAGAATTGCTTATTGAAGCGGGGGTGGGGGTTGGGTGAGGGTTATCCAAGGTGGACTGGCAACCAGTTCAAGGCGAGAGGTGATACTCGTAGTTGCTTCAGGGCCATGGCCTCGTGAAACTTGACTTAATCCTTAACATCAATGTCCATAGTTTTTTTCTCCATACTGTTTTCCTTAAATTTCCTATGGAATTAACGAAGTGCTTCTTTGATTGCCCAACATTTTTTCCATTTTCATAACCTTACTGTTTGATACAGGGATGATACAGGGGTGAAATTATAAGGAGAAACTAGATGCATGACTTTCCCCGTTAAGGTCCATTATCAAAAATCGAATATTATGTTCGAGCTAATTTCTTAATTCGACAGACAGCAACACTTGCCTCTTCGCAGGTCAGTGATTTTGGGAAAACGACGGAGAGATCAACTCTTGGCCTCTGGACATCTTTGATTTCCTCAACTGGCATCTTTGCAGCAGGTCTGAAAGAAGTGCTCATCCTTCTCTCCGTACCTGCTTGTCTGCGGTGTTTCACGACAGGCTGAGTTGATTGACTATTCATACTGTTCAGAGCGCTTGCCAAGGTGGTGTATATCGTCGATTTACCGGAGCCTGGGCACCCCAGAAGGATCACATTGCGGCTTGTCTGAAGAGTAGTATGAAGCTGAATAATCTGTGGAGATGAAAAATTACAATGACTGTGTGGGATTGCCCAACAGGAATATAACCATAAAAAATTAATGTGCATATGGCTTCATAGCTCAGTTGGTAGTACCACCCAACTAGCATGTGGGAGACACGCGTTCGAATCCCGTCGACGCTTGAATTCTTTCAAGCTTCTTTCTGTATTTTGCTTAAAATGCAGCACACCTGCAAGGATCAGGGCTTTAATTTATTTTCATCTCAAGGTCAAATGAAATTCATTTCATTGAAAACTATGAACGGGAATATATTTGGCTCGCGGACAAAAAGTACGGGCCGAGTGCAGCAATGTCCTTCCTTTATGTCCAAGAGCCAAATATTTCTAACTCAGTCAATACGCATTTTATCATATGACCGCTGCTCTTTCTTTTTCTCCCCTTTCTCTTAAAGATCGCATACCGAGGGGTCACACGACTCTTTCCGAACCTGCTGATTACGCAGTCGCGTAGGGCCCTCCTACCAGGATTTTTGTCTACTTTTTTTTGGCACTGAACGCACGCGGGGGCAGTCCACATGATCATAATTTGCACGCCTTCATCTTTCCTTTGGAAAACACTTGGTGGAAAAATGGATAACGAGAAATTAGTGACTTTAACTCTGAACTCCATCTTCAAATTTTAAGAAAAGATGAATTTACCTTTGATACCAGCTCTTGCCTGATTTGCATTCCGTTTGTTTGAAGACGGTCTTTTAATTCTTCAACTAACTTTGAATCACCTTCAGTAGATACCGACATCAAGACACTGTGGGCAAAGACCTCGTCAACTCCACGCGAAAAAAGATCTTTATCCTTCCCCAACAACTTTTTTCCAAAGTACAAAAACATTGCCTGCACCACAGCATTTTCCTCTGCCTGGCGTCTTTCCAAGGTCTCAAGAAAAGGACTTCTGGTCTTCCTCTCCGCTGAGAAAGTCACGTACGAAATCATTTTAAATTTGTGCCAGAAACAACTAGTAAACTACACTGACAGGTCTTATATAGCAGTAGTATCACTGACAACTGACGAGGTCATGATCATGAATTACACAGTCAACACACTACACAGGCTATTCTCAGAGCAAAAAGGCCAATGATCAAACAAAAACTTTCATTCACAGTTGTTTGCTTTGTTCTGTTCGTTACTATCTATGTGTTGGTGCGGTTTTCTGTCAGTCTTTCTGTTTGCCTAACGAGCTGCAGTTGTGCCTGTCTATCACTCAATGAACTAGGATTTTTGTACCATTCAACTCCCGATAGAACCCTGATTACTTTGAATGCGGGTAAATCAGAAAATAACCCAGCTAACCACCTTCACTCTGCGACGCCTCTGCAAGGGAACTTATCGTGGATCTTCTCTTACTAGCGATTTCTTTCTGAAGCTCTGTTGCAGCTAAGGTGGTCACCATTTTCATACTTCGCAATCCAAATGAGTACTGAGGTTGGGAAGACACCTTTTCACAAAAATTCAGACCACAGTCACTATATTCGAAAAGCATTTATTCCTAAACCGTTCAGGATTACAAAGCATCGACTATCAAAGATGCAACCCAAAGGCTCTATGAGTGAACATGTCCATGATAAACACGATTAGTTGCAAGTGGTGAATGAAGGAAGCTGTTCAAACCTTCCTGATTCAAGAAAATTATTTAAAAAAAAAGATCCGTCAAGAGCATTTAGTATATTGGGAGAAAAACGATGTGTGTAAAAATTGCGAGCACAATAAGCCATGGGGTCGCATCGCTTCTGGTTAACCCTTTCTAGCTGTCATTGTTTTTAATCGAATGCATACAAAAATTAAGTCGGATTTATTGTAAAATTTTTCTAAGATTCCTTACAAAAGAGTAGAGTTATCTCAGTCCACAGTGCTGTAAAGGAAACATTTCTCGCGCCATTTCTAACTTAAATTCCCCCGGTTCATTGTTGTGGCTTTAAATATGGATTAATTACGGCATAGTTGATCTAACATTTTTACCAAGTTTCATCTGTAAATAAAAGAATAATGGTCTAACTAACTACGTTGCACATGGGATCCGTTATTTTAATTATATAATTCTCAAAATAGACAAAAACTGAAGAATCTAAAAAAAAGAAAAAAGGAGGACGATTACCTGTTCATTAATTAATTTATAGAATGTGTTGATCTTCATTGTGAGAGACTTGGCTTCAGTAAAACCACAGCACACCAACCATACTTCCACCACAGGAAGTTACTCCGGAAAGACCATGGATACGGGCCTGAGTTGAGCCTCATAACATTACCAAAGACAAAAGTTACTAATATTTTCACACAATAAAATCAATATCCCATTTCTGGAAACAAAAACCCGGGGAAATGCTACGCATGTTAAGGAATTGAGAGAAGTCCTATCGCCTTAGTCTTACTTACACTTATACTTTATTTAGTTTTCTATTTCTTCCCCTTAAATATTAATGTTCTTCGTCAGAATTAGACGTGTTACCTTCAAAAGCTAATAACTAACAGGCAGACAAAAAGTTCGTAGGGAAAAATGCTACAAAGATGTCAACGGACGAAACTGCACTTTTCACTCAAAAAATCGACAAAATCCTTGCTTGAGGAAAATTCTGACCCAAAAACACTCAAAACCGCTCTTTTATCCTCTTTTGAAAACACCGACAATTAGTTACAAAGGAAAAGAAATGTAAACTCACCCTGAAGTTTTCCGGCAGATCAGCACTGAAACAGTTTTTACCAGACATGGTCATGAAACAACCATACATTGCACTGGCTGCCATGAGCTTCCCTACGAACACAATGTTTCCGAGCAGAGGCATTTCAAACTCTCTGAAGCTGGTTTGTTTTTTGTACACTTTAGCCACTTTGTCATGAAACGTCTGAGGAAATTTAGGTTGTTGCTCCATAGGGGAATATGTTTGTTGCGTTTCATTCTCATAGTACTCTCCTCCTTCGAGATCATACATCCTTGTGATTGACAAGTACCTCTTTCGTTTCGCTACGTGGCTTCCCTGAAAACAAAAAACAGGGAAATTCAACTAAAAAGCACCACTTCTCCACAACCCATGTCTCCAAGGTCCAAGATCTAAGGACAAAAAGACTACGTCACGCGCAATGCACCATTCTTACAATGGTTACCTTAAAGTTATGACAAAAACCAACCTTTACTCTTTCGATCTTAGTGAACTTCTTAGCTAATACCACGTTAGGAGGTCACACCACTTACATACAATATTAAAAGGAAATCTCACATTTTGGCGAACCTTACCGATTTAGACTCCGGTCTATAACTTGGTGAAAAGGCTTCTTGTGGGAGCGAGTCTAGAGTAGTAACACTATTTCTTCTTTTGCCCGTCTCGCTCTAAAAGGCAAAAAGGCAGCTTTTGAAGCAGGACAAGCGTAATAAGTTCAAGTTACATGAACCATATGAACGATCACAATTCGCAAATGCTACCTTGAAATGAGTCGCGGGGATATAGGTGGTAAGAATATTGTACTCTGAGTCACATCCTTCAAGAAAGTTTAAGTCGTAGCTGAGTTCATGTTCATTTGTAGTCTCGCATTCGCACTCGTGGCAATAAATGGAATTCAGTGAATTCACTGGAGAATAGCAGGCACTAACACAAGGAGGTGAACAAATAGTGCCACATTTCTTGCTAACCGATGAGACGGGGAAATTCAACTGGCGCATCAGGCCACAACATACCACATTTTCTTAAGATCTGAAATGCTTCAGAGAATAAGCATGAAAAAAGAGAATAGCACGTACTTCTGGGTTGTCTGTCTTAGAGATTCCTCTAGCAGTGTACTGAGAAACAACGAACTTCTCCAAGGACTTCATGGATGTTCTGATGCTCGCGAGATGCTCACCGAGGATGGACAAAATGCCAGGCTCGACACAATCTATATTTTCAAAACAGGCCCAGCTGCCTGATCGGATCATGCCAAATAGATAACGGACCAACATAGAGGTAGTCGGCTGTTCTGAGCAGTTAAACGTGACCAAATGCCTTCCAAGAGTCTGAGTGTAATATAAAGGTTACCTTTAAATATACTAAAAGCGTCAATCAGATGTGAGATGACGGTTTACATTCCAAATATTTGACACTACTTCAGTATGAAATTTAATCTGCTTTGAAATTTGAACCACATCCAGTAATTTTCCTTCAAAGTAAGGAACGCCCTCCTTTTAAAGAACTTATTATTGAATAAGGACCTTCCTGATTTCACATGAGATCTGAATCATAATTCCTATCCCCTCTACCTATCTATCTATCGGAGCTGCGAGCAATACCTAACAAGGGAAATTACAACTTAAAACATGGGATTGCAATGTTTTCTTCTACTCAAGTGAAAATCTGCTGAAACCTCACAGAGCCATACTAAACCTTTTTAGCCTGCTTTCAGGAGGTAGTTAGTACGCGCGAGATTCAGCTCGGCAAATATACTCGGTCACCACATTGAAGGGTGGAAGATCTGAGACGAGTCACACAGCGAGGGGGGGAGGGAGAGGGAGAAAACTTCTTTTACGGAGCGTACTCGCGCTATACCTTAGCCAAGTCTTTGATGGTCTCAGTTTTCCCAATACCATCGGGTCCTACAGGAACACCACACTGATGGGACCTCACAGCCATGTTCAGAGTGAGAAAGCATCTCTGCGTCAGTGGTGTGACTACAAGCCTCGGTGTGGGTCCAAGGTACTCATACCCATACGCAAAGCTGGTGCCAAGCTGATGTAAGCTGCACAAGCCAATCTCATAAAAATGCTCAACGGGAATGGTAGAAGGGATAGCTGAGATCTGGTTCTCTCCGCTGTCTTCTCCCTGGTAACGTGATGTAATGATCTTGTTCTGCTCTATATGGTGTTGAAGCTGGCTACTCCATTCAAAGCTATTGACATCCAAGACCCCGTTGTTGACGAATTCTGTAACATGCAATGGATAGTAGCATCGCTAGGAATAACTAGCCTCACGTATAGACACACAGTCAAGTACAAAAGAAACTAATGTTTCACTTTGGGATCTGAATGGTGGAGAGAAGGTTAACCAATGCACTTATGTATCGTTTGTGACATTTATGGAAAATTGTTCTTGGATAAATCAATGTATGTTATGTACAGTCTAGCAACAACTCAGTTGATTAGTCTGTGCAAAACGTTCCTTAACTGTCGTCAACAATGTGGTAGTGGGATTGCTTGACATGAACAAAAATTCTGTTCGAATAGAAGAGAACAAGTAAATGTGTATGTAATCAGTAAAAAATACATTACTGACCCGTGGCAATATCTCTCTGATTTATCACCAGGCCGACTAAAGCAAATAACAGCAACTCAAGACGACCATGAGCTGGGGTGCTGCTTTCATTTTCTAAGGTCTTCCTGATGATCTGTGCCAGGTCATCCACATAAGAGACGAGAGATTTTCTGAACAAGACAAAGGAAAAATATTTCATGCCATAGCGTAAATTGCCATTTTCATCATACTACACACTTAGATCATGAGCTCGAGATTTCAAGCTCTCAACATCTACCACGCATAGAAATCGAGATCATATTATCTCATATATAGTATACATGTACATGTACTATTTGTTTCAAACTTGATAACAGGTCTGGCTTGTGTTTTTTTCTTATTTGATTTAAAACCGCACATTGCTTGGCGACCCATTCTACTCGCCATCTGCCTTTCAATAGACATCCAGTAAGGAAGCCAATCAGATTGCAGCAATTGTGATAGAAAAGCAGCATATTTATCCTAACACGTGATGGTACGCTATGCGTTCACGCAGAACTCCATTGATCTAGTATCTTATTCCTAGTATGACTAAATAACTCAGAAACCACAAGAAGTAATCTATATCATCAAGCTTTCCAAAAAGCAATTCTTGCCTACAAACATACCTAAGATTCGACAGCCCCTGTAGATTTCTATTTTGTAACACCTCAGTCATTTTCATGTTCCAAACAACTGCCTCTGCTGTTACAACACACTGACTTGGAAATTTCAAGAAAATTTGACCTGCTTCTGAGCCATCATTCTGCTCCTCTTTTGAGGTCTGCTTGGAATCATTCACAGAGTTAGAAGTTTGACGAAAAACTTGTTCCCCTAAGTAACAGAAGAACAGAGGTTAGCACTACCGCCTCCTTTGGCACAGCGATGCACGCTTTTAAAAGTTGACCCAGAGTTAAGTTACAAGTCTATTATCATTTTTTTGGCGAGAATTTATCTCCAAAATTCCTAACAGGCTGTAAGGCTCAGGAGTCACATTTACAACAAAAGAATCATATTTCTCTTTCTTTCTTTCTTTCTTTCTTTTTTTTTTTTTTTAAGTGTGCAACTCCCATTTAAATGCAAGGTGCCTTTTTTTTTTCAAGTTAAAAACGCTTCTGACTATCTACACGCATAAAAAACTCTAAGCTTGGCCTCGTAAGAATTCTTGAAACACAATAGCCTTACCGAATGAAGTTATTAAGTCCAAAATCTTTCTGGGACTCTCTCTTCCCCTGAGCCTTCTGTCCACACACTCAGCAAGACTCTTCACTAACGTATTCCGCATCCTCTCCTCTAGTGTGACGAGCCAGCTTTGTGGACGTGGTGAAGCGGGAATAACTGATAGAAGAGGAACCACTTCTTCCAAAACACCTTCCATGGCAGTGACTTGCAAAAGATGGGCTGAAAGAAATATAGCACAATCCAGGGTTAGACATCAACTTTTCAACTTACTAGCCAATTGGCTAGTGACAACTTAGATGTTACAACAATTTCAGTTTGTTTACTAACCAAACTGGCTAGTGGAAATCGAAAACCACCAACCAAAACTGAATTTCTACTAGTCTGTGGCTAGTTGGCTACCGTTAGTGTCGAGCCCTGACAATCGTAAGACCTTGTTAAGACGTTGATTATCCTGCTCGACCGTTATATGTTGGGCATTATGAGTCATACTTTCCTGTATATTCATAGGCTCCATCAATACTGCTGCCTCTCTAGTTCGGCAATTTCTTTTGAAATTTTCTTTCGCAAAACAACCCAAAGTAATTAACCTCGTCGATCAGGAAAGGAACCAAGAGTTGTTACAAAATTATACACGTAAATACACGGCCCTATTTCCTGAATAGCTGAATGCCAGGTTACGAATCGTTCAGTCTTGCCTTTGACTGCTTGATAGGAAAGCACAAGTTTTCTGGACCAATCAAAAGGCGTATTGACGCCAAACCAATACAATCACCGAATGACAATTAAATGATCATTTTATTTTTCTTTTATATATATATATATATATATATATATATATAACTAACTGCAGACAGTACTGTTTGGGCCTCATCAGTGCAGTGCTGATACTAGGATGGGGGAGAACCGAGACGGTCACCCCAAACGACCAAACCTTTGTGGTATCGTCTAAGCCATGCCAGTATATATCCATTTCCTTTTATAGACCACAATTCAGTAATTACCATTCAATGCTGTGTCCAGGGTGCTGGCCAGCCTCAAACTACTATCTCTTGGCAAAGCAAACTGAAGTTTCTTTATACCAGGAAAACACTTCCTTACAAATGGTAACAGGTCTTTTGGGTCACGGGACCAGGCTAACAGACCCAAAAGGTCATTGTCACTGAGGAAGTAGAGCCGTGGGAATACGACACGTGCTTTGTCTGTGTATTCACCCACCATTTTTATTAATTCCTCCTAAAAAAAAAAATCAAGGATAGGACAAGTAACATGAGTATGCAAGAGGCATGGTATGCAACTGCATGATAAAGACAGCTAGAGAGGTAAGAAGGGTGAAGACAGATTACTGAGACTCCTGAGGCCCCGATTTCAAACGTCGAACTTCACATTTACCCAAACGGGTAAATTTCGACCGTTGGAACATAATTCGTCCAACCAAGAAAAAACGAATCTTTCGTTCAGCAGGAGTTCAAATAAAGCAATATGTAATTTATTCATTAAGTTCGATTCACGAAAAAAAACAGATGTTGAATGTCCCAGTCAATCTTCACACGTTCTATCCGTCCGAGTTGACGGACAGAACGTGTTGGTCGATCCAATTCAGCTGGACAAACTCAAGTGATTCAGTCCTCGAATTTAGCATGACATTAATTCTCCTAGTTTAGTTCGTCTCATGAAGCTCGTCGTGAAGTTCGACGTTTGAAATGGACCTGAGACATTCAAAAGCTCTCTATTGGCGCCAAGTTTACAGACCTGCAAATAATGCAGCTAACATCCATCACCGATCCACAGAAAGGACAAACGTTGGATAATGAACAAAATAAACCATGAATAAAATTGCTCCATTACAAATTAAAAGAAATTACCGCTTTTCTTGTGAGCTCTAGCAGCAGTTCCCTTAAGGTGTCTCCCTGCAGATCTCTCCAGCCTTTCTCTCCCCGTTTCTTTAAGGGCAACACCGATAGGACTTTGGGATCCCTCGAGATTACTCGCACAAATTCCTGGGATAAAGAAAAGAGAAAGGACAATAAAAAATGATTTTAAATCATCAAAAAACTAAAGACGCTTGAACTACTTTCCTGGTATTTATTATCTGTTGAGCCATAAAACAGTTCAAATCATTCTTAAAGAATTTTCTCAGAGAAATAACATCACTGTGCCATAGTTTGTAGCACTAAGAAAAATTAGCGTTGTATCCTTCGCTTTGTTTTTTGTTGCTCGTTGCTTGGCCAGAAAACTCCCGTCGTCATTTCGACCAATAAAATGCAAAACTTAAACGGGTCCCCTCGTTCTCAACGCCTCGGGCGAAGCTTGCTTGTTCTCACTGAGAAATCTTTTGTTTCACCTTGATATTGATTTTACAACATTTCACCACAATGCACCATATCAATACCCAGTCCAAAGAGTTATGAGAATGAACTTACTCTGTATTTTTCATCAACATCGCGGTAATTTTGGCTGCTGTCCTCCAAAGACCTTCTTAATTCTGGCTCCGCAAAAACATTACTGAGGTAGAGCCACTGAAATGTCAGACACCATGCATCAATTAAGGGTTACATGTACATCTCTAGACTCCTGTGTGAGTGTGTACGCATTACGAAAAGCTAATGCTGTGCGACATACCTCTTGAAACACTCTCACCCTATTTCAGACTAAATTAAGTGGTTTTCATTACTTTGATCCAGATTCAACAAGAGCAATTTCACCATAATCAAGTCAAAACCCCGCATCTAAAGAGTATCCAATTTCAGACCCAAGTAATTTAACTGATACCAGCTGCGAGAACAAAACAGGATCAATAACCACGCATATTTTCATATTACTACCGTACCATTCGTACAGGTGAGGAAGCACCCACTTTGTCCCCCCCTCCCCTCCCCTCCCCTCCTCCGAAAAAAAAAACAATAACAACAACAAAATGAAACAAAGCAAGAGACTAATTTACAAATTTAAAATTGAAGGAGTCGGGTTTATTAACCAAACCCCATGGAAATGCATGCCAAACTCAAAAATGAGGAAAATACATGCAAGTCTTCTTAGAAACAAACCTTCTTCTGGCAGTCTGCCCAAATGTCTGTAATGCTCTCAATTTCCTGCAAGTTTGTGACCCAAGTTTCTACCATTGGTTTCAAATCTGCTACATGGGGAGATGTCAACATGATGTGCAAAGTGACGAGATTATCCTAAAAGGAAAAATGTTTTGCAGTTTGCAGCCAAGAGACAGGATAACGTTAGCATCGGGCATCCCATGAAAGGGCTGTTTTCTCTTTGCAAATCATGCAGACAAAAATTATTTAAGCTGTTGTGAGTAGATCCCAGCACCTATCAACTTTTACAGAGAAATAGTTGGGCAAGGTTTGGTAAACTCATAAAAATTACAAGGAGACACAAGTGCCTTCCTCCAGTGACCCCGGTACCATTCTAGGTTGTCAACTTGAGTCTGCTACTGACTCAGACTTCCTCTTTCTCTAAGGGATTAATTTTTTCTCTTTGTTTGCCCCCTCCAAAAACTCCAATTCTACCAGGAAACAGTGGAAAAGAATTAAAGCACCTTAGGGATGTCCATTGATTCTTTTATTTTTATTTTCAACATATGTAACAATTAACTTTAATGTAAATGTACCTCAATGATGCACTTCAGTTCACCGATTCCAATGAGGATATACATATCTGGTACAGAGGCTGGTGTCTTGGGTTTCAACTTCACATTTGCCTTCTGTTCAAGACAAAATTCCAAACTTTTCAAATTGAACATTTAAAAAACCAACCATCCATCACGGTTTTACTGGAAACAAAGAACGGATCACCACAAAAGGCCCTTATTTTGGATAATCATTGTAAGCAAGTTATTTCATCTTCAAAAGTAAAGGTGGTGATAAAAAATGGGTAACTAATGCTGGCTTGAGGAGCACTTACAACAGGATCACCACTAATGATTATTTCATTGATTATGCTTCCATGTGTGATTGAAAAACTTTCAGTATAGTAACTCCATGCATTTCCACTACCTCAGCTCCAGGTTGCATAGTCTTTCTTCCTCCTTTAGCCTTTCTCACTTTATCTCCAAGTCGGGGTCTCATCAGTGGAATATGCTTTGCGAGCTTGAAGTGTTTCTCCTCCCACGCATGAGCCAGGTGATACAGCTGAAGTTCCAGTGCATATTCAGCTGCCGCCCCAGCACAAACTGTTGTTATTAACTCTTTGTAGCGGCCAAGATTGAAAGAGAAAAGGTTTGCCACTGTAAATTCCCAGGAAGGATCATAATCTTGACCCATTCCTATGAACAAAGCTCTCCAGTGTCGAGACTGTAGAAAGATGAAGTAAGAACGTGAAGATACAATGTACACCATGAGATAGAATGAATATATGAAGTTCATATATTTTGAACTGCGGTATTAGATACGTATGATGCACGATCCTCGCAGTAGATAGCGCTATTTACGCAATAGCGAAAATCAGACCTGAAAAAATTCAGTCCCGTACAGGCCTGAATTTTTTCAGGTCTGATTTTCGCGATTGCATAAATAGCGCTCTCTACTGCGAGGATCGTGCATCATACGTATCTAATACCGCAGTTCAAAATATATGAACTTCATATATTCATTCTATCTCATTTATCACTTTCACGGGTTTATTACGAATCAACTTAACGGCCTGCTCCCAGTTGGCTTGTTAGCTCAATTGGTAGAGCGCTGCACTAGTATCGCAGAGGTCAGTGGTTCGAGTCCCGTACAGGCCTGAATTTTTTCAGGTCTGATTTTCGCTATTGCATAAATAGCGCTATCTACTGCGAGGATCGTGCATCATACGAATGTACACCATCCTGTATATTACAAACTTGTTTACCTATAGCTCTGCATATTCAGTAACATAACTGAAGGATCGTATCTGTGGCATGTCAATTATTGCAAAAACACAATTTTTGCAATCAAACCAGTACCCCTTGGCAGAAATAAAAAGGATTATTAAATGTAAACCTTTTGTTGTTTTAAGGCCTCATTTGGGCATCGATCCAGATTTCTAAAAAGGTTGGATTGCAAAATTAAATCGGGTCAATCTTGTCTTATTTTGTCTCTATATAAAGAAAAGCTGGCAGCTTTCAAGCACAAAGCCTGATTGGGCATGATTATCAACCTCTTTATAATCATTCTAATAAATCTCATGTTGAAGGTTACAGGTATTAGCAAACAATTTTCATTCTATAGGTGGTTCCTGGTTCGTTTATAGGTGATTTCCTCTTACTATGAAGTGCTGTTGAGCAATGCTATTGAAATCACAACAAGACTGACTGAATATGGATGAACAATAGGAAAAGGTGATGCCAATAATAACATTGCTGAACATCATTAACTTACAAACTATGCTAATGCTGTAACTAGGATTCTGCGCAATACCTAACCTACAGCACCAACTATTTTCAACCACTGACCCTGGAAATCTGGTCTACTAACTTAGAACTGACTACCCTCAACAGTTGTCAGCTACTAACGGTACCAGCACCAAAATTTTTAATACATGTCCCAACGGTAGACTTGCATGTACCTTAAGAGCATCACTAGAGAGTTGAAGTAGGAAAGGCAAGTCTTGGGAAAACTCTTCCAACTGAGACAGCCAAGAAACCAGAACTTCGTCATCCTCGGGAATATGATTTTTAAGTTTCTCTCCAGCATGAGCCCATTCTGTGAGTTTATCCATTGCCTTCTTAACATTCATCTGAAAATTGGATGCATTAGACTAAAATTGATAAGAGTTTAATAATATGAATTGGTTATGCACAGTCAAGTAAAATGTAAGTACATACACAGATTTACGATCACATCTGACCAGATTCCCCAAACTAACATCATTAATATTGTGTAACAGAAAGTTAAATAGGAGAATTATACTAATGAGTTTTTGGGAGTTAAATATCACCAGCACATACACATTAAATTTTTATGTGAAGATTCATTTGAAAACTTATCGCATTTACCAATGCAATACCACTCTCAAAAGTTAACATACTCCCTTCCGCCTTCCCAGTTATGCAAAGGTGCTTCAAATGTTATTTAATAATACAGACAATTAAATGTTCAGGAGGTTGGTGTGTTGAATGTTCTGGTGGTATAATACTTAATTCTTTCAACATGAAGGCGTTATGGATAGGCATTGTTCTCCATTAATTACTTTAAAAATTAGGACTGAAAATTACATAATTATAGTTGTATCAATAATTACATCTACATCTGCTTATGACATTGCCATAAAATAGTGGATACCTTCTTGAATACTGTCTGCATCCACTCCCGAATGGTATAGGATGATGAATCACAATACTTCCACAGTTCTTGCCTTTTCTCAATAGCATGGAGAATACCAGTGATGTGTCCCAAGTCGTATTCCCTTCCAAGCACAACAGCTTGACACTTGCTCAGGTCTGCTAGCTTGTTCTGAATTCCAACAAATTTCTCCTTCAGCTACAAAAAAAAATTGAAAAAAGCTTGAGAACTGTAATGATAAATTAAGATAATGACTATCTACAGTTCACTGGTACCTATAAAAAGGTAGAGTCTGTTTACAAACCAAGAGGCCCATTAGCCGGGCTGGGGATGTGATAAGATGCTAGTCTATCACAGGGTTACCCCTTTTAACACCTGGGTGAAGAGAGGCATGGTGATAGCTAGTGTTTTGCCCAAGAACACAATGCAACGTCCCCAGCCTGGGTTCAGAAGGACCACTCGATCCAGAGTTGAGCCCCCACTAACCATGAGGCCACCATGCCTGACACTGCAGGTAACTTTACACTGGACATTCCATAAGGAGGAGATTTACTTAATGTCAGTGATATTTTATTGATTAATAAGTAAAATTAATGTAGTACCTGTACATTCATGAACAAACACATGCAAAAAAATCTTACCTCTCTCATGTCCTGCAGAACAGAAGATGGCTTCTCATTTGGATCAAGAAATTTCCCTGTAGTAGCTAACTGGCCAATTTCTTCAGCAGTGCGTTGCAGTGTCTGAAGATAAGAGACGTTTACTTCAGCAGAGTAAAGACCATTATTAGTGATCTCTAAACTAAGAAACAACACCCCTCATCTCTTTCCCTGTACAATGGTGCACTTTTTTTCCTGTGTTTGTACAAGACATAGCATGTTGGAAGTGAAATGCTATGGATTTTTTTTTAATCTTTTTTATTTTTAACAAAATTTAAAGTGGCTGTGTATATGTTGCATCAATTAATTTTGTGGTAGATTGTAGCTCCCTTTTGGTTCAATTTGGCTCTGATTAACACATTGACAAATAACATGTACCTCAACAAGATCATTATATCATAACATATCACACTCTTTATTATCCAACTACACTTAGATGAGTACAAATAACGCCATAGACGAGTACAAATATCACACGGTATTTGTACTCGTCTATTGTAGAGTACCGGTTAAACAAGTTTTCTCGCATCACGCAAGCGAAGAATTGGATTGTAGTTACGAAAAAAAAAAAAAAATGGCGGACAATTTGAATCACATTTCCAACAACGAAGAGTCAGAATGACTGGCAAATATAGATCCAAGTTCATTAGATGAATCGAGTGAAGAAAAACAGCTTGACGACCAGAAAATTTCTTCATAATGAAAATAGAAACAGCAACACAACAACGTGCCAATTCCGTTCCGCTTCGCATACTTCTGTCACGCACTCCCCATAAATAAACATCTGCGAAATTCGCCCGCACTGAAATAACAGTTTGGCATGTTGGATAATAAATAACTTATTAGACGTTTGTTGTGTAGTATCACTGAGTATTTTTACTCGTTATTTGTATTTTGACTCCCTTCGGGCCCGTCAAAATACGGCACAACCCATAAAAATTACTCAGCGATACTACATAACAAAACGTCTAATAAGATATATATATTGCCCTTGTAAAAAGCCACCTTCAACATTAACATGATTTGATTTATGATTTATAAGATTCACCAACAGGCAGGGACACCGCAACAGCTTGCGCCAATCACTGCAGGCCCAGTAAACCCACCCATCCCACCCAGGGGAAGACATCCATCACATAGTAATCTCGTGTGTGGGAAATTAACATCTCCTACCCCCAACCCTGCAGGAGACAGGACCTCCATATATTTGTCCCTATCCGAGAAGACTAGTCAGAATATCTAACCATTTCTTGATGTTATAGAAAGGTAGCAAATTCTTCCCAATCCTTTTTTTTTTAAGAACCTGAGTGTTGGTCCAGCCGGGGCTCGAACCCTCGACCTCCTGCATAGCAGTCCAGCACTCTATCCATTGAGCTAACCGGGAATCCCATAATTTCAATTTCCATTAAATATTCCAAAAAATTTACTCACACTAATTGTTTCTACCAACTTTGCTGAGACTTGAGGTTTGTGAACCTCCACAAAGTCTGATGCTTCCTGCAGACCAAACAAGAAACTTTCCCAAGTGGCCCAGACCTAGAAAATGAATTATAATAACATAATCACATAATTTGGGAACAGATTCCATAATAAGAACAAAAACCTGATATTACACACAACCTGCAGGAAGACAAATATTTGAGTTTCTAAACATATCAAGCAGGTGCCATGGTCTGTAGTTACAGGCACGAGAATTTATATCAGGTGATCTCCGAATAAAATTGTCTGATCCAAGGTAATTGAGAGGCATGTACATGACTCACTTTATAGCTATTTGTGTGTCAATGATTTAATTCATTCTAAGCAGTCCGGCTTTCGCAAGCTTCACAGTACTGAAACTGCTCTTATTGGAATGATCAACGAACTGCTGTTTAACCTTGACAATGATCGCACAAGTGGTGTGATTTTAATTGATTTTTGCAAGGCTTTTGACATGGTTGATCACTCAATTCTATTACAAAAACTTCAAGCATATGGGCTTGACAACAAATTGTTAATCTGGTTTCGATCATATCTGAATGAAAGGCGCCAGTCGGTATCTATGGGTAACATAGAATCCCCTACTGCTTATGTTCATCATGGCATACCTCAGGGCTCAATTTCGGGTCCCTTCCTTTTCATCGCCTATATTAACGATCTTCTGCTACATGTGAGCAAGGTCGGCTCAAATTTACCTATATAATTATGCAGATGACACCACGCTAACCTCTGCTGCTAACTTTGACTTTGTTGATGTTCTTCAAAGTTCACTGACTACAGCAATTTCTGAGGTCGACCAATGGTCAACAGCTAATAAACTTCCTCTCAATGAGAGCAAGACAAAATTGCTTACCATTGCTGGCAAGCGACTCTCTACCAGAATTAACCATGACCTTGCTGTAGTTGTTAATGGAAAACAACTTGAGAACATTTGTTGTGCAAAGCTTTTGGGACTAGAAATCGACCACGAACCAACATTTATCCCTCATGTGGAGAAATTGACTAAAAAGCTCTCTCAGCGGATGGGCATTTTAAAGAGAATTAAATATTGTCTACCTCTAAAACATCAACTTATTTTTTATAACACCATGATAAGACTGGTAATTGATTATGTAAATGTGGTTTGGACGAGCTGTGATAAACATTGCCTTAACCGTGTTCTAAAGTTGCAGAAGAGGGCTGCTAGAGTTATTCTAAACACCGATTATCATTAGCCTCCTCCATCAAACTGTTCAATAAACTAAACTGGATACCATTTTTAAAACAGGCTAAACTAACTAAAAGCTGTATTATATACAAGCGTGTACAAGGGCATGTACCTAACTATCTTAAAAGTTTAATTAAGCTTACTAGCGACACTCATTCACGCCAGACTAGGTATGCCTAATGGCTGCCCCATTATCAAACATTAAACTGAAGGAGGACGAACATTTACTGTGACTGCCTGTCAAGCCTGGAACAGCTTTAAACGCTATCCATGTGGAAAATAGCATTGCTAAATTCTTTTAGGAACTCTCTTCAGAAAAAATTCTTTGAAAAACAGCAGCTTTTAAATCATTTTATTCTGTGATTTAGTTAGACTATTGTACTATTAATTGATTTTACCTCTTATTTCTTGTTTTTTATTCATTATATTATCTCATAGTTATGCCATAGTTTTTAACATCCGTATATAATGTACATAACTAATTTTAGAGGGCCACGGGTTTGTCAGTATTTTTATACTTTTTTAGTGCTACCCTCTTTAAATAAAGTCTTTACTTACTTCTTTACATACTATCATTCTACAGGTGTAGACCCTTCCTCCAAACTGCATTTGTTTCTCAGTTGCCCCCAATTCAACTCCTCCAATAATGTATACTTAGTCTAAGTAGTAAAAATATGACTTGTCTACCTTCCACAGGCTTGGAATTCATACATATTTTTTTCTCACGCTAGTGCTCTCAACATTCTCAATTAACAGAGGGGAGCTATAACCAATTTTTTTATCAAATTAAAAAGCGTTTTAATTTTACTTAAAACATGTATATGTTGCAGGTAATTTTTCTTTTAATCAATTTTACTGCTAGCTAGGAAAGCGATTAAGAAGTCTATCTATTTGTATCCTAAGGGATAAACATTTAACTCTGCTACAATCCACACAACCAACACAACATTACACAAACACATGTTAGAAGATGGAAACTGAGTGGTGCAAATACCTTTTCTTCCATAATTTCCTCTTCAGGAGTCAGTTGCCTGTAACAGCTCCTGATCACCTGCAGCAAAGTACAGTAGATGTGAATTAAAATAAAGAGGCGACATGATAATTCCCCTCGACAAATTAGTTCAATATTATAATATCGGGTTAGTCCCAGGATAAAATAATCCAAAAACTATTAGTGGACTCACTTCATAAAGATTTTTAATGTACTCCACTTTCTCCTTCAATCTAGACACATGCTCTTTGACAGTTGAAAGCTTTTGCATGAAATCCGAAAATCCCTTGATGTCTGTCTTTTGATCTTTCAAAAGCTAAGGTGATATAAAGCATGAAACCAATGTCAATAACGGTAAAATAATAAAAGATTTTTATCATGACATCTTAAGTTTCATTAAAATACCCGTTCCAGCTCATTTAACAGAAGTTACTGTTCGTGATACACTTCAAAGAATATTATGGCGTACATTCGCGGACAAAAATATATCAAAAAAAGAATCACTTTGAAAATGAAAAAATGAAGTGAACCATGTCGAAATGCTTTGCATTGAAGTCCAATATAAAATTCGAAGTTCTAAACACATGAAAATTCAGTAATTACATCGAACAATGCATTCATCGAAATCAAACTGAAAAAATTTCAATTTGAGCGGAAACGGAAATGCCTAAAAACTGGAAGTCTTAACAGGGCTGGGGGAATTATGCAATATTTTATGAAAAATTATGCACCATTTTAATTAATTGCGCCAGATTTAGCAAATTATGCACAAATTATGCAAGTTGTGCAATATTAAAAGTATTGAATTTTACATAATTATAAAAATTATTTTAAATTTAATATACATAATTATAAGTTCATATTAAGAAAACCTAATTATTAATAATTATTTGCCAGGATATATTGCTTAACTCTCTCTTTGGCCGTTATATTATTTTTTTCTTTGGTTTGAAAAAACTTTCCATTTTAAATATGAAAAGAACAGAAAAGAAAGTTTCTGGAATAAATTTACCAAAATGGCACCATTTTTCTTTCAGAAGCGTTGATTGGTTCTTTTTCCTCCAATCATATTGCTTGCAAGTCAACAATTAGAGCCCAGGTCTCCAACAGCAAAAGACAAGAGGCCTGTTGGATTTTACTTGTTTTCCTGTGTGTTGGACACGATCTTTTTGATTAAAAATACAGTTTTTGCCATCAAAATTCACTACAATTTGAAAAAACTATTTAAGGTAGGAAAATTTATCTTTTAGGACATATTTTGATTGAAATATCGAGAATTATGCAGAAATTATGCATTTTTACAGGATTATGCAAATTATGTGTTTGAGTTAAAATTATGCGCTTTTGCATTGGCTCATAATTCCACCAGCCCAGTCTTAAGAGCCACTGACACTAAATATCGAGAATTCGCCGCCAGTTGCAGAATTTCGTAATTCATTTTTATTTTTTCTAAAGCACCTTTTTAACCTATTGACATCTAGTGCGTCCGTATGCGCCCATGTGGACCCACACCCTTTCTATGCCTTGTGACATCATCACTTTTAACCCTGGAGCACGACTTTGAGCACGTACTTGAACAGGTTGAAAATATCTTACAAACGATACCAGAATGAGTGCAACTGAGTGAAGGAGATTATAGAAATAGCCAAAAAACCACGTAACTTTGACCTGAAAATCTGCACGAAAATCTTGTTCCATTACTCACCTACCTTTCTGAGCATGTGGTTTGAAAATAATGAGTAGTTTCCTAAAAAATCTCTACACCAAAATGAAGCCTACTAAATTTCCAGCAAGTGAGGAGAAGCTTCAGGCAAGGARAGGGGAAAAAAAGGGCAGGAGAAAGAGAGAAAAGTAGAAGTCATAAGTGGGGCATTACTTTTCAACCCAAAAACTATCTTGAAATTTTGCTTTCTGTGCGTGCCCAAGATTTTCAGGCCACCATTTTACATCTGGATCGAAAGGCCGTCGAGTGTACGAGCTGTCAATGGGTTTTTGGTAAGTTTGAGCTTTTAAAACCACAACAGTGACCCGAAATCTGCTCGACTAGCTTCAAAACACAGTTTTTCACAAAAGCTGCATCCATTAATGGGTTAAAGAACCTTTTTCGAAAATTATACCAAAAAGTTCTATCGTGCTTTTTTTCTCCAAAAAATCGAAAAGTTCAAAATACGCCTTAATGGCCATTCCCCCACCCCCCCCGAAAGCAATGAAAAAATTATGCAACTTCGGCAACTTTGTACGCTACAACATGATGCAATCCTAGCTGCTTTTAAATTTTGTCTGCTAGCAGATGGTCCTTTTTTCTCTTGGAAAATATTAATTTCTTTCAATGCAAAGCATTTAGACATGGATCACTTGGTTTTTTCATTTTCAAAGTGATTCTTTTTTTGATATATTTTTGTCCGGGAATGTATGCAATAGAATATGGTGTCCATTATTCTGAAATATAAAAAGTTTGCCTCTTGTTTTGAAGTAGGTAGATCACAGAAAAATATTGTAATTATGTTGTAGTGGATAGTGAATGGGTAATTCTTCATTATCTAACTAAAAATAACTTGGATTTACATGTACATGGGATTCATGGTAACACCTCATTACAAAATAATGATTGAATGGTACTCAGCAAAACCTTGAAAAACAACTTGATTGAACGTCTGTCAAAGAAAAGTAAATTTAATACTCTTACAGTTGTACAATAACACTAACAAAAAGATGAAGCTTATAACTACACATACTTCTGATAGCTAGTCAACATCCTTGACCACTTCATCAGAAAATGTAATGACATCTGTAATGATTGACAGCACCATCTCCTTAAAGATGGTGTTCAACTGTGGCAGAAGCACCTCCTGTACTTTATGGCAGTCCACAAAAAATATTCCATTCTGGGTGCAAAAACTCTTGGCCATGCTCAACACTTGTTCTTTCCATGTCTTGATCTGGTTCAGTTGTTGCTATTCAATAAATAAATAAATGAATTAATATTAATAAAAGTTGTAGTTTTTATATTATATCAAGTCCACAAGCCAGTTCTTAATTAGTTCAGTGTCTCTGAGTCAAGCATTGGGGTTTGGGAGGATGCCGTTCATGGATGGAAGAAAACAGAGATAAGAGAAAAATCAAAAGAAGAGGAGTAGAACCAACATTACAATAAATTCAAGCCACACTGACATTCAGTTGACCAGGTATTGAATGCGAGCCACAATGATGGGAAACCCTGCACAGCATAACCCCTCCTTCCCTTTCAAAGTGAATCAAACAAATCCTGCTGCACCTTTAAGTGGTATATATTAAATATCATACATATGATGCACGATCCTTCGCAGTAGATAGCGCTATACAATAGCGAAAATCAGACCTGAAAAAAATCAGGCCTGTACGGGATTCGAACCACTGACCTCTGCGATACTAGTGCAGCGCTCTACCAATTGAGCTAACAAGCCAACTGGGAGCAGGCAGTTAAGTTGATTCATAATAAACCCGTGATGATAATTCAGATACAATGAATATATATGAAGTTCATATAATTATTTTGAACTGCGGTATTAAATACATATGATGCACAATCCTTCGCAGTAGATAGCGCTATTTATACAATAGCGAAATATCTACAGTGAAGGATCGTGCATCATATGTATTTAATACCGCAGTTCAAAATAATTATATGAACTTCATATATATTCATTGTATCTGATTAAATATCATGCTGGGTATTGGGCCTGTGAAAAATTGACAAAGTTGGCTACTGCTTCATTTCTGTTTTAGTTTCATTTCCAATTTTACATTACGTTGCATGTCAAGTGACAATCTCTGGGGGATTGACATATGCTGAGAATTTTAGAGAGAGAGTTTTACCTAGTATGTGTAGCGGTTTTGGTTTGCAAAACATTTCTTTAAGGTGATTGTGATTGTGACTGTGATGTGATTGTCACTGTGATTGTAATGCAACCGTTATTGTGATTTCCCTTTCTTTTGTATGTTATCTTGTGATAATAATAATATAATAATAATATGGTATTTATACAGTGCTATTTCTATTGCTATTCAATAGCGCTGCACAGTAGTGTTATAGATCATACCCCCACCTATCCCACCCCATGGGAGGACATCCATCACACAGTAATCTCAGGCGTGGGAAATTAACGTCTCCTGCCCCTAACCCTGCAGGAGATGGGACCTCCATTTATTTGTCCCTATCCAAGAAGACTAGAATATCTAACCATTTCTTGATGTTAGAGAAAGGTAGCAAATTCTTCTCAATAATTAATTTAAGACCCTGAGTGTTGGTCCAGCTGGGGCTCGAACCCTCGACCTCCCACACAACAGTCCAGCGCTCTATCCATTGAGCTAACCTGGAAGTGGTTAGCTCAATGGATACACACAAATTAAAGGAAAAAGCTACAAAAATTGAAGAGAATTAAATGTTTGTGGTACAGTTGTATAATACCCATCCAATATTTACATGTACCTCAAAACTTCAAAAAAGAAAAAAGTGGTTTCATTTTCCGCCACCTATAATATACAATAAAACTGTATTTAACCATACCAGATGATGTGCATGCTTGTTAACTGAGAGCTCCAAAAAAGAACTAATGAGAGCTTTCGATGCACAAGCCTCTTGATATTCAATCAAATTAAATAGATTTGCCTTGGCATTAATTTTTACTTAATAATAAAGATACATGTAGTGCAGGTGGATACTTTTATCTGAGCTAGAAGTAAATATCACCCTTAATAGACTGAAAAGAATAAGTATAGATCCCTAGTACTTTATAATTTGCATCAATCAGTTCTTTTTTTCTTTTTTCAGTCCTTGCTCTCCACTAGATACTTAACTTAGAAAATCAAGTTGTAAAATTGCCTATACAGTACACTGTACCTCAATTTTACTGGTCAGTTGACCTCTCCACTCATGTGTTTCACCATTCCCCCAAGAAGAAACAAACTCATGGATTGTGGCCACCCAGCTGTGATCATCACAAAACTGCTCAACTTCTTCAGTGGCTTGTGATAGCAGATCTACTTGTCGTTCAATAGCCTCTGTGACCTGTTTACTTAATAGATAAGAAAAAAAAAAGGATAACTCTTCCTTAGATGATTATTGCTTCGTAGTTCCTGAGGAGCAATGAGAACACAACTCACTTCTTGAGCATTATCTCCCCAAGTTTCTCCTTGGTCAGTGGACTCTTTTCAACTGCAAAATCTTGGAAGCGTTGCCCTTCCACTAAAAGGCCACCATTAGGCTCTTGACGAAAGCACAGTTGAAGAGTAGCCTGTCCTGACATATCTCTTGCAATTGACAGATCAGAATTCAGACCATCTAAATCTTCATAGATTTCATCATCTGTCCTTGTGACTGTGGTTGGGCTTCCAAAAGTATCTGCATTATCTTGATCATCTCTTCCCAGGGTTTGAGGATGTGGGGTCTAAGAAGATAAACTTGCGGATTAGTCATGTGAAATAACATTAACAATTACACCATATACCTCAACAATAATTCAAATAATATTTTAACTAAAAAGGTACCCCTGTATTTAATTCTTACCATATTCAATTTGGTAGACATGGGTTGTTGTCCACCAGTCAATAATGTTTCAGATTGTTTTTCAGAACTAAATACCAACTTTTCAATGTCACTGAGTCTGTCTCCAGTTTTTGCTAACCCTTGTTTCATGGAGTCACTAGCCACAAAATCATTTGGTTCACTACAACCCACTTGAACATCCGCTTCATTCTCCGCTTTCTCCTGAAAATGTTTGGCATTGCTTCCTAGCTCCATTGGATGTGAAAGATTACAGGCAGCACTTATAACACAACCCACTGCAACAGACACAGCATGAGAAAACTGCTTCACAGATGGTGACAAAGTAAGCTTGTGGTCATCCCCAAACACAATTTTAGCTGAAAAAAGCCCATCCCTTTCGGGTCGTGGGCCAAGCATTGCTTCATCCACAAATCTAGAAATGTTCTTTTGAACTAATTTCAAAAGATTCGAAACTATAATGCGGTCCACCAGACATACAAAGGTTCCAAGTCTTTTAATCTCGTCTTGAGCAAGCTTCAGATTGTGTTGTCTCACTGCTCTCTTCTTCTTTGCAACTGCAAGTGATTCCTGATAATTATGGCGGTGACTTTTAACCTGCCCTTTGCAGTATTCTAAATACTCAAAACAACTCTCCTGTGTTTTAGCTATGATCATTTGGCAGTAACTGAAAAACTTTTCTATGTATTTGTGCCCTGTGCCACAAGTTTTGAAAATAGTGTCCTCAAATTCCCCCAGGGAATAAGAGAAATTGATCTGAAATGGTAGAAAAGTGACCTTTTCCAAGTCTTGAAGGAGACTTGAAATCCTAATTAAAGCTGATCCAAAACTGGGGACATTTGAAATGAGAGACTTCTCAATCTCTGCCTCAACTTTAAGAAACTGACTGAATTTCTTTATGTTCTTCCACTTCCTGAACATTTTGGTGATGACAAAGTTCTTGAAAAAACCAATACTTGAAATCGCTTTAAACAAGCATGCTTCTCTGTACCATTCTGCTAATGACTGTGTCTCTGATGGACCAACAGGATTCACATGCAAAACACAATGTGATGAAATCACATAATGTTCAGGATTCACTTTTTCCTCAGGGACAACCACCAGGTTATATGGATCATACCGTAATGAAGGTGCAACATTCAAAAAGGCAAAGTTTTCTTGACCAAGGAATCGTCCTTTGACAAAATTTTCTACCACTTCTTTGCCAGTCTTTCCCAGCATCCCTCTCTTAACATTGCTCTGTTGAGTGACCTTCCCTGATTCAGAGAATGGTATCCTGATGACAGGAAAACTTGGTGACCTCCTTGGTGTGGATGGTGGAGTGGGAACGTGTGTTTGTGGTAGATCAATATCCAATGCTAATGCAGTTGTTCCTAAGGACCCTCCTAATGTGGCTTCTCTGATAGCTATCTCTCGCACTACTCCTGGAAGAGCTCTTTTGAGATCTTCCATACACAACGACTTAGGACCATAACTTTTTGCTTCTCCATCTGAATGATCAAACATGTATGTGGTACCCCCAGGAAAAATTGGCACCCCACGAGGGATTTTTACACCTTTGTATGATGATGGCTGGAGTCCCCTTGGGGTAAATAGACTATCCACAGAAGTTTCAGTTGGAAATGGGATAGCTTGTTGTCTAACACCTCCATGAGGAGCAGATAACTCGTTAGGAAAGACAGCCAACAGTTTCTCTTTCACAAAGCTGTAATCATTTTCATCCCCGCTTGCATTGATTTTAACGTAAGCACGTTCGACGTAATGCCTTATTTGTGGAGTTCCAGTTAAAAAATGCGAATATGGCTTGATAATATCCAGAACTTCGCAGAGGTGATACCAGGACTGTTTCGTGTTTAGCTGCAAAGCGTTCACGAAACTCCGTGAAACTTGTTGCTGCAAGATTTGAACATCGCCATCTTCCAATTCGTCGCTACTCATAGGCCGAGAACTAAGCCTCTCTCGATCGCTAGTATCACTCAAGCCTGAAGAAGTAGTAATGGTGGGTTGGGAGACCAAGCTCCTTGAATCTCCGATAGCTGGAAGTTTCGGCTGCGAAAAGGCCACCTCGCTAATTTGATCAGACATTTTGATAGTTTCTGCGCCTTATATTTGTCATGCTCTTCTTGAAGAAGTTCGACGATAGCTCTTTATCTCCACTGTACATCATCACCACCTCAGTAGCAATTATTTCATTATGATTTTTTTAGATGAAAGTCAACGTCAAGTTTGACTTTTCCTTCAAAATCCGCCATATTTGTGTACCTTTCGCGGTTAGCAACTGTTTAAAGTTCCCAGCATTCAAGGCAGTCGTTACCATGTACAGACGGAACATACACTCAGCGGGTTTCCACAGGAGAAGCAGCCAAATTTTCGCTTTCTTCAAGGAAGTAGAGTTGATAATTATTAAAGAATTAATTTATTAGCCATGAGTTTTGCCGAATATAAAGAGCGGATATCTGAAGGGGATACTGTTATTCTATTCCTTGTAAGTATATAATTCATTGTGATATTCAAATCTAACAAAATGAAGATGTCTGGATTACAGCTGAATAAACGTCACTGATTGCACGTGTACGTATGTTTGCCACGCTGGGCTACATGTAGTTGATGTTATTACACCGAGGATTTACGACATGGCTTTCATAATTTGAGATGAAACTATATATGATCTAGGTAACTGATAAGGTTAGCTACGATCGCTGGCGAATCCCTTCAGCACCGGCTTATTTTACAATGCTTATTGAAATAATTATGTATGAAAATGGTAATATCAGGTCCATTAGAGTTAAATACATGTATTTACGCTCGATACGATTGTACAACCTTTTCGATTTGTTGTTTATGTTTTGTTTTCAATTTACCTCAAGGGTCATAACTCAATGCAAACTTTAACAGTTACACCAGGAAAGGTTCATCAAACAAAATATGGTGCTCTTCCACACTCAGACATGATTGGAAAGAAGTTTGGAACAAAGGTAAACTACATTGTCGCTACATGGACTATTATACTGACCCTGGATTTTTTGAAGTGCCTTATGGAAGACAAGATTAGCTTAGCTTTAAGTGTATTAGTCAGTCCATAGGTAAGATACTTAGATGTACTGTGGCGTGCCACAGTGACTCTCTCCACCCATGTAGGGGTATAGAATGGTACTAGCGAGCTGGCCGTGGAAACCTGAAAATATGCTGGAAGGGGGGGGGGGGGGGGGGTGGGTTTTTCTGCAACAGACTTGCACCTCATGTAGAATGAAGATACTGTGGGAACCAAGGCAGCTCGTACTCATTGATTCTGTGGGAAAACCGACTATGTTAATTTTTACTTGGAGTCATGACTTCTAGACTAAGGGCGACAAGGTCCATACTTTATCACCAAGAGCCAAAGAGTTTCCCATGCTGCCTGAGCATATTCAGTCAATAAGCATCTTGTGGGTCATTATATAGGACTCATTGTGGCTTTTTATGGCCCAATTACTTAGTCCTGTTCAGCCCTGGTACAAAGATTTTTTTATAATGCTTTTGCAATAAAAATGCTTCTCAGGGGCCATGTAATGGTCTGTGTGATTTTAGTTGATTAGTGCTACACAAACTGGGAAAAGGTATTCAGCAGTTATCAGTCACATGATAGAATTTGTCAAGCCAAAGTGATATTTAGAACTATTTTTTTCAGTTGATTAATTATTATGTTTTATATAAATAATCAATTTTAGATGTTTTCACTGAACAAAAAGGGTTGGGTCTATCTTCTTCATCCAACACCTGAGCTATGGACAGTAAACCTTCCACACAGAACACAGATTCTCTATTCTACAGACATCAGTATGGTCATTCTCCAGTTGGCGCTTAAACCTGGCTCTGTTGTTGTTGAGTCTGGTGAGCATAATTCTTAATTCTTTAATTCCTTTGTGTGACCAAAACCAAATTTCTCCTCACAATAATTATCAGTACAATGTAAAGCAGACAAGTGGTAAGAATAAAGAAAAATGTCAGATAGAGGATATTAAGTTGATCCAAAACCAATTTCTCTTAACTAACATCATAAGAATTATATTGTAGAAAGTAAGGAGAATTGCTATTAAGATCTGGCAATGAAAGGGTTAAATGCCAGCATTGATTGAGATCCTTCTCCCATATTTTCAAAATATTTTCATGGGTCTTGATATTGAAAAAGAAAGTTTCACCAGGGATAGAATTGAATTATTGCAAAAAAGTTCCACAGTTCCACTGGTTCTGCGTACCCACTCACTTTACCCTTCTGCTATATCTACATGTTACTGGTTATTTCAGAACTCAATATTATGAGAGACTACCCGAGTATCAGGTACCAAGAGAATGTTGTAGATGTATGGGGAGGATTTATAATCATGACTGTGCAGGGCTGTAGTTTGGTTGACATTCTTTTTGTACCTGATACTGGTTTGGTATCCTCACGGCAGCAGGTGGAACTGCTGGATTTTTATGAAGAAGCCCTTCATCGCAGTGAGTAGCAGAGCTGTTAGTGAGAATTAGGTCCCCTTAGAGTGATTTGAACAGTTGTGGAGTGCCTTTCCCTTTAAACACTTCATTATCTCTCAATTTTCTCTATTCCATAGCTCATGCAGCTCTGTTAGGAAGAGTAGAAATTTATATATTTGGTAATTTTTTTTGTCTTCCTCCCTTTTTAATTTGTTTATTTATTTATAGTTTTACAACTTACAAATACAACAACTATAAATAATAAAAAATACAAACAACCATATAATTATTATAAGTAATAAAAGGATGAAGAAAATTATATGCCTTGGTTAGTCTGTTAAAGAGTCCATAACCCAGTAATTTTACAATTAGAGTGTCATGCCTGTTAAAATTATTGAACAGAGAGATAGCATGCCTTTACAAAGAAATTTTGATTTGTAACATGCAATCTGGGGATTGATGAAGAGAAATCTTATTAGTTTGCCACTCTTTTCAAAATCTCTTTTAAAATGGTTTAATCTTAGATTTGCGAAAACTTACCACTGGTAATTTGCTTCTCTTTTTTTTTTTTTTTACATCACTAGGAACTGGAAGTGGTTCAATGTCTCATTGTTTAATAAGGACAATTGCTCCATCTGGTCATCTTCACACATTTGAATTCCATTCAGAAAGAGCTGAAACGGCCAGGTCAGTTTAAAACACTCCGAGGTTGATATAACTATGACTTGGTTAAGTTGATTTCTTGGACATCATTCTTTACCATCAGAGGCATCAACTGTTTGGTTTATCATGTTTCAATCACTTTTGACTCTTGACAGGAAAGAATTTGAGGAACACAAGATTAGTCATCTGGTAACTGTAAGATGTCGTGATGTTTGCAAGGAAGGATTTGAGCTTCATCAAGTTGTAGATGCAGGTAGGTGTAGAACTGGGCATTATGGAAGGGGAATTTTTTATTGTATAATTTAGATGTGATAATTTACAAATCATTGCAGTAAAAGTTGTCAGGATTTTAAGATTTCTGTTATGTTTTGTTTTGTTTTGTTTTAACGACTTTACCGGGTGTGACTAGACCCGGAAGGATTAGTGCGAAGGGAACACAAAGTCCATGCTAGGCACCACCCCTCCCCCCAATTCACCCTGGATAGACACTGCACAAAGATAGACCACAACATCTCTTTCAACTGTTTATTATTAATTTATTTACAGTATTATTGGTTTATTACTGTGCATTTCGCATTTGCTGTTTTCTAATGATCTGATTATGGTGCTTTTCAAAGTCTCAGATAAAAATTACTTGGTTTGAGCAAGAATGTTGAGTTGGCATCCAAAGCAAAGTAAAAGAACAAAGCAAACTTTTGATTTGTTTTTAACTGAACTGGTGTGATGAGAATTTGTGAATGGTGAGCTGTGATTTTTACTCTGTAGAGAGAAATGACTGACTTTGAAAATGTCAACCTTGGAGATGTGAAAAGAATCCTCCTGTAGCATAATTTATATCTTTTGCATTTTTAGAATTGTACTTTAATGTTTATCCTTTCTTTTCAAATTTACTTCTTAATATAGTGTCCCCAATTAGCATCATTATGATGCCAGACATATTTGACACTCAAATAAAGATACTTACTTAATCCAATGTTTGTTTAAGGGCTTTTTTTTGTCATTCAGTTAGCTTAACAAACTGGCATCCCATTTTTGTTTTAGTCTTTCTTGATTTACCTGCTCCATGGGATGCAGTAAAACACTCGAAAGAAGCCATCAAAGTGAGTAGTTCTCCAATTATTATCAATCATGGTAACCAACAAATTAGGAGGTACAAATGTTTATGTGTATGTACCTGATTGACCACTCCTCCAGTGGGGCTTTTTATGGCCAATACAAACAAACTGAAACATTGTGAAACTAGGAGGCAGACCAGGTGGCCAATTATGCAAATTGTAGCAGAGAAGTTGAACTTGGGACAGCTGAGAACAAATCAAGTGAGTTGTAGGGCTTGGTGGAGGGTTTGAATTGAGGTCCAACAGTTACAACTTTAGCACCCTTACCACCAGGCCACACTACACATGCCTATATACCAGGAAAAAGTAGTCCCACATTACTGAATGAAAATGGGAAAAGGGAGTTCAAACGTGATCTTTCTGTTAGCACTTCGTTTATTTTCTCCATAAAAAGTTGAGCTGCTTTGATGAGCAATGTAATTGTCTGGGTAACGTCTACAACAAAAATGAAGGTAAAAAACCAAAACTGCTAATTAGCAAATTTTGAAAAGCTAACTGTTGGAAGCATAATTGCCTTTGGTCAGAACAATTACTTTTCATGAAGAGGATCTAAGCACTCAAAGTATCAGCAGTTCAAAACTCAAAATGACTTTTAACTCTTTGTCTCCCAAGATCCCAGCTTGGAAAACTGTCCACCGTACAACTCTTTAGTGGAGGCGGCATGGCCAAGTGGTTAGGGTGCTGGACTTGAAATCCAGTGGCCCGGGTTCAAGTCGTCCACCCTACCACTCACTGGATTTGTTCTCGGTTGCCCCTTGTTCAACTCCTTGGCTGTGCTCTTTAAATAGCCCACTGGTCGTCTCCTGCCAGTAGGGATTTTTAAGCAATTAGATAAAACTTCTTCTTAATACAGTCCACAATGTAAACTACTGGGTTACCAGTAATTGTGTTAGCTATTAAAGTTTTTTTTTTCCCCTTATGCTGTTAATTTGGAGAGTTTGGTATTGGATCAAATACTTATCCATGATTAATATTTTCTTTATTCTCATCACTTGTCTGATTGCTTCTGTAATGATGTTGTGGGGAATTTCTGTCACTCATGGAAGTAAAAAGTTAAGGTATTCTTTTTGAACTGCCAGACTGCCGCCTTGCATATTTAACTATAACTGATAGCGTTCAACCCATTTTGTGTCTTACACCAGACAGAAGGTGGAAGGATTTGCTCTTTTTCTCCTTGCATTGAACAAGTACAAAGAACCTGTGAATCATTAAGAGCGTGTGGATTTAGAGGTATATTGTAAACAGTTAAAATAAAACATGTAAATTAACAAAAAAGTCACCCTTCTCTCCCCAACTTTCTTCAATGAAGAACATTGACTTTTTTCCCTCTATTACATCTCTCTCAAAAATCATTCTGTACCTTGTTGAAAGTTTTAGTTCGCAACAAAGGCAGACCTTTATTTGCTCATAAGTGTTAGAGTCAGTTGAACATTTCCCCTGCCATGGGGTGGGTGTAATGTTCTTTTGGCTGCATTACGTGGGAATTATAGGCTTTGTATAGCTATGAATTAGTAATTCAAATAATTTTTTTTCTTATTTTTAACCATGCTGTAGACATTAAGGTGATGGAGTGCCTTTCCAGAACGTTCGAAGTGAGAACTGTCCCATTGCAAGTTCCTTTCTTGGGTCCAGAAGTGAGTATATAGATTTGTATTATTATAATTGTTATTTAGTAAGCATTCCAATGGAAAGACCTTATTTGAGGTTTATTAATTATGCATTTAAAAAAATTATCTGAACGTTTCAGAATCCTCATCCGCCAGGACAAACGTCCAGGGATTTCTCATCACGGAAGAGAAAACTTCAAGAAGAAAGTGTATCCTGTGACGTGGTATCCAATACTTTGTTGTTTCCATTTTATATGTGTGTGTGTTTGTTTGTGTCTTGTTTTTAGCCTACAGTGCAGGCGTCTTATAAGGGCGAGTTAAGGTTATAAACTTGTGATAGTTTATCTGAACTCCCCCACCCCAGCCCCTCTCCTTTTTCTTGACCGTCATTCACCCCCTTGGTACAGAATACTTTCTGTTCCCTGCCTTCCACTGCCATTAATATCAAAATGGCGGCTACTTTTTGCTGAGAAAATACTGAGCACTCGCTCACCTAAATTCCGCCTGCTCTGCAGGCTATCTTGTTTTGGGATCTTCAATATCACGGTAAGTCTTGGAGTATTCCTACAAACGATTAAAGGGGTAAGTTCTCAAGAAACTGTGGTGTTGCGTCGATAGGGGGGATTACAAAAAACATTTGGTTTAATCAACTGAATTAATAATGTAAATTTGCAACCGTAACGAGTTTCTAAAGCCAACGTTTCGAGCGTTAGCCCTTCACCATTGATTCTGACGAAGGGTTGACATTCAAAACGTTAGCTTGAGACATTCGTTACGGTGGCTAATTAACGTTATTAAAAACTGAATCATTGGATAATGCAATTCAAGACTTTTTAATGGCTTAGCCATTATGGTATATGAGCCAATAATTATACCATAATCTACAAATATGGTAAGCGTCCGCGTCGGGTTAAAATTAAAAGGGAGCAAAAAAATTTAAGATTTGGTAAGATTTGTCTAATATCTTGGGGGCATTTTTAATAAAACAATTATTCCACTCGTGTTTGTTGGATATGAGATGATTATAGCCAACTATACGCGCCTTGTTGGCTATCTATCATCTCATATCCAACGTGCACTTATGGAACAATTGTTAATTATCGACTCAGTTGATAAAACCAAATTATCTTGTAACCGTATTCCTGTGTAGAGCTCTCATCCCTAATGACGCTTTCTTTTCATTTTTCTCTCCTCATTTGGGTAGCCCTCTTCAACATTGCAAGATGGCCACGTAAATATGAAATCAGTGGAATCTTTACCGGTTGAAAACACTCCCAGTGATTCGAAGAGCCCCACAGATAACGCTGAACACAAAAGCGAAATATCGAATAGGATAGTCACGGAAAAATATGCGCTAAGCCCTAGTAAACACATCACGGACACAGACCCTGATTCCGGACTAGTGCGGAACGTTAGAGCAGTGATGTCACAGAAAACTAACAAAGCGAACATTCTGACGGGAAGGCCGCTGAAGGAGATGACAGGACATACGGGATACTTGACATTTGCTACGCTTTATGCTCATGTCACGAGTAATAATGGAAGAGCCGACGAAGGAAAGTAATAAACTAGTCAATACACATGGCTGTGTTTGTATTTCCTTTGTTTCTTTAACTCCATAATACGATGATAACTTCCAGCTCAAGCTTGTATTATTTTCTCTATATATAACAAATATCCTTCCCATGCAAAATAAACTGTGTTTACAATTTGATATTACCGTTACGGTATATTACTGTTTACCTAAGATATAGGCTGATACAGTGTACTGAAAGTCAATTCTTTACCTGGTTAGGTCCTTGTAAGACCCACTCTCTAACATCCTCCTTTCAATAGAGGTTTTGCACAGCAGCCATGTTGGATGGCAGGAACAATAGATTATTTTACCCATGGGAGAAATATTTCTTTCTTATGCAAAATATTTTCATTGTTCCTGCCATCCAACATGGCTGCTGTGCAAAACCTCTATTAAGGAGGAATCTTTCTAATATTGACACTAATAGATTTTAACTCTCCACAAACCTTGGTCGCTTCGATTTATGTACTGTTAGCTCCAGAACAAAGGCCAAACGAAGTATTTGATCAAACTTCAGTTTCATATCTCGGTTATTGAGAACTAACTCATCGGTGCTTTAGCTCATTAGTCCATGCATAATTAAGTCGTCACGTAATATCTTTTAAACTTAAATCTTGAGTCTGGCACGGACGGTTACTTGAGACTCCAGGGTGTAGTCTAACCTTTCAAAAATTGAATGTGGTAAACATGATGTTGGTAAACATTCGACTATGGACGCTGCCAGTTTGAGTTTTGCTAAGCGACCTGGCCGCTGACCTGGGAGGCGCTTGATCTTACTCGTCGTTTCGCAATGTTTTGCGATCTTTCTAAAATTATGGGGAACTTTTCAAATACACATTCTTGACTCAAATTACGATCATTTGTCTTTGGGTTTGTGATGACTAATACACTACGGATTTTTTTATTTTGAGTTGTTTTCAAAATGGCAGCGAATTTCTTAATACCACTTTACTCTTTGGAATCTCAACGCAATACGTTATTAACTGTTTTACTCATAGCGTAACGGTGGGTGGAGCATGATTTCTCTTAAATACATGCTTAGTTCATCGTTTGTATCAATTAAAAACGTCTTTTCAATTTTGAACAGCCCTGCTGTTCTTATCGCCATGCTTGATCGGAAATTGTAACTTCGTAAAGGCTTTAATTGAGACGCCGAATTCATCATGTGCCGAACTAGGCATAAATTACACTCAAGTACGTAAAAATATGAGAAACGTATGAAAAAAAGTTTTTGGACAAACAGCGCATTAAATCTCCACAATTGCCTCCTGTTTGTGAGCTTACTTAAAACTGACCTGCAGTTACGTATCGCGCGCTACAGCGATCCAATAAACGATGTTAAATACACCAAAGCTGATGGGGAACACTATCAAGGACAGTTCGTCAACAGCTAAGACAGCTTCCTCTGTATACAAACGCTTCTTCCACTCCGCGAGGCTCAGCCATTTGCTTCGCTCAGGTTTTTTTTCTTGAGGATCATTTATCATCAGCTCTTGTTCCATTTTTGCGAACTCCATCATTTCTAGCTGAGTGCTGCAGATCTTGTCTGGATTACATCTCTGTACATAGAAACAGCAGCAATGTGACCTCATTAATGCATATTTGAATTTTTTTTTTCTTCCTTCCCCTCCTTGGATACCTTTTCCTAACGATTGAGTACGTACAGGAATAATACTTTTTGCATGCTTCATTCTTAATTTACTACTTCGTTTACTGTAAGTTAATACCTCATATCAAGGAGAGACCTTCAACCCACCCCAGTGATTTCTATCCCCTCCCCCCTCAAGACCAGTTATACAATGCATTGAACACCCCCCTGAACTGAGTTGACCCGATGTGTTCCACAGGGAGGTCTTTGTCCCACGCTCGTCACTAGACGAAAAACATCTTTCTACCCGTTTCTTTACCGAGCTCAACGCTTACCACCTTTCTTATTCTTCGCAGAGGAATTGTCGGCAAGCAAATTAAAAGGTCCGACAAGAACTGACATCTTTTCTCCTTAGGAACGAAAACTGCGTGTGAACACTTTGCATTTATCCTAAAACTCTACATATACTACCCATTTCATCTAACCAAAAAGTTGGATTATAATTTTGGGATGAAAATCCGATTTCCCAGTTAAAAAATTGCCTTTTCGCATCATTTCACTTACTCTGTTTGCAACCCCATCTCCGTTTCTCCATTGCTTGCTAACATCACAGGCGTCTTCGTTATTAGGTTTGTGGTTATTCCTCTCTAACTCTTGGATTTTCTGATATTTTTTCATTCTGGACGCTAAAAATAACACAATCGAGTACTCTCCTAGTGAAGCTAACACGAACAGAAAACATCCAATGAGGTACTTGTCGATGGTTTTTGTATAGTTTACCTGCATAGGATCAAAACAGACATTTCTTAATTCTAGCTTTCCTTTGCTTTTTTTACTGTAGTCTTTCTTTCTTTTCCTTTGTACGATTTTCTTGTTTGTGCAAATGAATGACTTTCGGGCCGGTCATATACATTGTGTAACGAATAAAGTAGGGCGCAGCCTGTCAATCAATCAGTAAAATAATAGTACTACAAGTCATCAGTCAGCTTTTCATTCAGCTCTTCAGCTAGTATGCATTAAACCAGTTAGTCAGTCAAACTCTGAGTTGTGCAGTTAGTCCGTGAGTGAGTCAATCAGAGAGTCATTTGACGTGTGAGTTACGCACTCAACCATTCAGTTAATCAGTAAATCAGTCTAACAGTGCACCAGTCCGCCGGTCAGTTAAACAAGTCAACACACTAAACATTGGTTGAGCTCCACTTCTATAACACTAAAAACCAAATATAATTTTCATCACACGTTACCTTTGGCATAGAGTTGTTAAGCATATTGAGGATGGTGACGACAGTAAGGACAGCGGTAACTCCCAGGGTTACACGCGCAGGAGGAGAACTGCGGGGCAGCACGAAAGTGATCCAAGAAATGATAACAATTAATGCACATGGTGCATAAACGTGGACGAAGAAATAACTGGACATTCGCTCAAAAGTAAATGTCGCCTTTATGAAGGACCAGTTCCCTAGAGTAAGATTTAAAGGGAATTCAATCAGTTTTACCATTTAGTTTTACTAGTCTTACGTAAAAAAACATCGGTAAATGATCGTAACCTATCAATTTATGTCATTGCAATGCCGTGTACTGCGATTTTTCTGTTAGGCGGAGCCAATATATTCCAACAATGAATTCCCAGTTTCTATTAATTTTTGCCACACCATTTCTTGGGAATGGTAACAAAAAGTTCTTTCACCACTTTCCAGTTTGTTGATTTTTGCGTCTCATTTTATTTAGAGGTCAAAATGAGACATTACTGACATAACTGAAATACTTGAACAGTCTACATGTAAACTTTCAAACCAACAATTTTCACCGACAAAGAGCTTACAATTTCGTAAAACAGCTTTGCCTAAAAAATAATAATAATTATGCTGATAATAATATTCATATGGAGTTCTAGAGCGCCATATCCATTGGCTCCTGGCACTTTACAACTGAGTATTTCAGATCGAAAATTTTTTATATTGAAAATTACATCAACAATCAAACACAAATGTATAAAAGTACAAGTTAATTAATCTAAAAATTAAGATTAAAATTATAATTAAATAAAGATTAAAAATCAAAATTCTTATCGCAATATTAAGGCTATATACATTATTCTAGCAGAACTTTAATTAAAATGTTATTTACATAAGAAAGTCTTTAAAGAAGTTTTAAATTTTGCAATGTCATCATGATTACGTATGGGTTCTGGCAGTGAGTTCCAAATTATAGGTAAAATAAGATATTCGTTCATTTATAATTAGCATGCTTGTTATGAAAGTTTTATTTATTCACTCACCAACAACATATTTATTAAAACTCTTTGTCAAATCCAGCCCGACTAGATTGTATTGGGGCAACATTTTCAAGTTGGCGGGAACAAACGACATCCCATCCGTGAGGTCCTGTTCCCATCGAAATCTGATGTGGTCAGCACTGTAACCGTCTGTTGAGAGAAAAAAATCACGTGGGGGATTGGTAAATTAATGCTTGAACCATAAAGAAGGTCAGCAGCAGAATCAGCAACTATAGGTTACCATCATCATCATTATCATTTGATCCTGTAGAGTTATCTTTCCGAGTGAGAGTAGTCCTGAGAAGGACTGTTGTCGGCAGTGCTGACTGACGTTTCGACAAACTGAGGGGAAGTCATGGTCAGAGTCGAGTGAAGAATTGTTTTCGGTCGAGTGCTATCGTCATCATTATCATTATCGTCCTAACCATCAATCATCGTGGTCTGCATTAGAGTCATCTTAAAAGTCAACATGGTTATCGTCACACAATCGTCATCCTCATTGTCCCGTTATTCTCGTCGTTATTATCTCTGCTGCCACAGATAGCCGACCTCAACATCATCATATCAAATACCTTGGTTTTATTTAGAAACGTATATCCATGACGTGTCAACTTATTTTAATGAGAAATTCGCGGTTTGTTTCCTTGGAACTCGTTAGCAAAACACTATTTTTCAGAAGTGTCACTCATGAAAGTTAGAACGAATGAGAAATTTCTAGTGCGAGGTGTCTAAATTAAAGATGTCCTCATCATTTAAGACATTGTTTCTAATAATTAGCATTTTTATTTGAATTTTCAGAAGTACTCACAACTCTCAATTGTCAAAGGACAGTGTTGAGTGTCCATAGGAAACTTCCTGAGATCCATTGGACAGGCTGCTTTTATGGTGATTCTGGAAAGGCAAAAAGAGTTGGCTATGCTGACTTCCAATTAAAGAAATCATTCCTATTTTGACCTGCGCATGAGATATAAATAAAGAAACGATGCTCATGAGTGAGTTCCAGTTGATGATCGCGCACAACTGGTACCTGGCAAGCTCAGTTTCGAATCCCGTCGAAGCCTGAATTTTTGAAGTTTCTTTTAACCTTTTGACCCCCAGGAGAAATTAGCATTTAATATCACTACTGAATAAGAAAAAAACCAAGATCACGAGAATAAAAAAAATGACCACCATCTACGGAAACTCGTGGTTTTCCTTGTCAGAACCTTGGTAAAAAAACATATTTGAACAGTATGGAGAATATGCATTCTGGGTGTAAAGAGTTATTCGCAGTTTACTTGTGAGGATCATTTCTTTACTCGCGTAAGCGTGTATTTAAACAAACCTTTGAAAGTAATTTTTGTGTTAAGCTGTTGCCTTTGTACGCAGCTGACTTCTAGGAGCACGAAAATTTCATACTGTCTCCTAGGACTGGTTGCTTTTGAGTCCGGCTGATGGTCGATGGACCGTGCATAAATCGTGCGTACAAACTGACCTCGCTTGAGCAAAGCGAGCTGGTGAGAGGTCTGCTAATAATCTAGAACTAAAGAGACCACTTGCAAACCTTTCGCCAGCAAGCGTTACTCAAGGCTTCAAATTTATTCGCGGGCAAAGAATCTCTCATAGGTTAACAGACGGATGAACAAAAAAGTTTGTTGCTCAGGGCACAACTTCTTTTTGTGGTTAACATGTCATTAACTCTGATTAGCTATCGAACAAGGTTTTGCGAAAATAAGTAACGTTGAACTAGTCAAAAATAAATTCGTTAGTCTTCTCATACGTGTTCTCAATCAGGACTAGCTCTATAATTTGGATATATCAACAAAGTTGAATTGGTAAATTGGCCACCGTAACGATTACAAAAAGCTGACGTTTCGAGCGTTAGCCCTTCGTCGTTACCCCCCACAGACGCAGCCCCAAAAAGTTTCTTTAGAAACTATCAGCCTTTAATCACGACTAGCTATAGTCACAAAAACTGCGAGGATTCCCCAGGGTTTACCTAGCATTGTAATGTACAATTCCACCAGGCATGATCATAATCATCACGTTGTCCTTGGTGACTTTGTGAAAAGATCCGTGTTTTGCGTTCACAAAGTAAGTGTCTGGCATCCAGATGCGGTCCATCACAAAGGTGCTAAGAAACATGGTTTGGTTGAGGCCATGATCAAGACGCTCGTCTCTCCAAGCTTGACGAAAAAAGATGTCCAGTGAGAAGTCCTTTCGGAAGGAAACAAGTGAATGGAATGTTGTCAGAATATCGATCTCCATTGTTCACGTAGGCGCTGTTAATTTTCTCAAGAGAAATTATCCAGGAAATGTCTCCTGCCACCATTGGCAACCTGAACGAAGACATTCTCTTAAAACTTCTAAAAAAAGGCTTAATAGCGACGCACCTGCCCCATGTTCCTTGCCCTGTCCCCCCTCGTTTTGAGCGACTGCGAATTTTGATCTATCTATTCTAAGGACAAGTTAATCTAACGAAAGCAGAAGCTTTCTGTCTTAGTTTCTTTTTCTTGTTGCAAGTTTTGATGAGCAGTGCAACTGATTACTGCTGGTACTAACAGTGCAGTCCCTCTGTCAATATCAATTTGCGAAAAAAACAGCCATTAAAACCGAAAATGAGCGACTGTGCTTAAATGAGCGACTCTAGCTAGTAAGTTTTCATTACCTACCATATCAATCACATTAATGGTATCGATGGAGAGAACCCAGAAACCAACTGTCACATCCACTGGACCACCTGTCGATCAATCCACAATCAATCAATCAATCAATCAATCAGACATGGTTTAATGCTACTCTGGTTTGAGGATTTAATGAATGTAACCGAGAAATTGCAATTCATAGACCCAACGTTTCGACACACCTGTCTTGTGCCTTCATCGGAAGTGATCTAGTCGTTGCAACAAGAGGTCCTTTTTTATGCTCAGTGATTAGCAGCCCTTTTTTCTGAAGCGGTAAATAACCGCTAATATCACGATTTAAAGGAGCGGGGCAGAGTTAATATGCCAGGCTTCCAAACAAAAGCGCTGGTGGTATCGCCGATTAATGGTGATAATTTTTTAATTATCCCACCGAGTTGCATGGTTAGTTAGGCACGTGTGATCTAACAAAGCTGAGTTTACTTTTTATCAAAAGAAGACCGCTTTTTGATGCTCTTTCAAACATGTACCAAATTGACGTTCGTCTGTCCTTAACGAAATCTCTGGATTCTAGGTCGGTCCGATTGGGAAAAACTGTGAAAACCCTTGACAGTCAGTTGTTAAGAGGCCTCATTCACTTATAAAATTTTACGATGAATGTATTTTTATGAAATGTGATGCTGTCCATTCCTAATTAAAGTAACTAAAACCTTTATCGTTAAAAACAGAAAAATAAATAGGGTATGATATACATGCGACAAAATTTCAATGCCCTACTCGACAAAAACTGGGGCAGTTGCGGACACTGCCCCACCCGAAATCTATTTTTGCCCGAGTTCAGTTGTTTGAAGGTCGAATAACCGGCCGTCCAACAGATAAATCACCATTCAGCGGACAAGCGTTTGCAAAACACTGCGCTATCCACCGGATAGAGATTTATCCACTAGATTGTTATTCACTCCTTGAACAACCGGGACTAGACATTCGTTTAGATATAAAGAAAGATTAGCCTTTGCTGTCAGCCTTGTTTACCTCATTATTTTGTGGGTACTGAGTTGAGGACAGTGAATTGTATTATAAACTTACCATCATAATTGGGTCTTAACCTTAAATCATAGTGCCCTTTCATCAGGAGCTTGTCGAGAATTTGAGAAACAGTCTTATTACTTGCACTGTAGTTTCGAAAAACAAAACACGGAGTGAGTAATCATTAATCAAATTATTCTGTCTAATAAAAAAAAAAAAAGAAGCACCATTTCTAAGCCTAAACTGTGGTTAGATGCAGTAATTCCACTCCAATCTACATATTTCTTCCAATCGCATTTCTATTTCATGATCAGTCAATACCAGTCTAGTCTCTATAAGTTTAATGTTCCTAGTTTATCTTGATGTGCCGGCTCCGTGTTTTCTCTTCAGGAATAAAAAAACAAACAAGTAAAATCCTTTGCACAAAGGTACCGCTGTCTGCGATAGAAATCGCCGTTTAAGAAAACCAGCTGCCCGCTAAGAGTTTCTTAATGCATAATGAAATTTTGAATAACCCATAATTTCACTTTCGGGGTGTTCTTGAAGAAACATCTTGTCCATCTTTCAAATCGTGTCGATCTCAGATTGAACGGTAGGGAAGTTTAATTGCCTCAGCTTTCAAATCTATTGGCCAAAGGGAAATTTTAAAGAAATCCTTTTGTCTTCCGTAGACGGGCGAAAAGTTGTTCCTGATCCTGATATCATCTGTCTGGACTTTCAATCTTTCAGTCATGGCTTTGTTTGTTAGTAATCCATTTTAATTAGGTCCTTTGTTTTTAAGCTGTTCTACCGGTACTTTTCTTTAAAACCTGTTTCCCGAGTGATGCTACAAGCTGTGCTTAATTACAAGTGCTACATATTGTAAGATTTTCGCAAGAAATCTCGGCAATACCTGAGCGTCGTGAGATCTTTGTCAAGCTTCTAAGAAAAGATATGGAAGAACATAGGCTAAAGATGTATATGATCACCATAAATTTCCTCGGCATGAATTAGGGGAAAATCTAAGAGTGAAGTTTCCCTCTCGAAATGCATAAGAGAGTAGCTTTGCTGTATTGATAAGATAACTCGCCTTTTAATGCAGACTGTCAAGCCTTTTTTTTTTTCATTCAGCGTTTAAGCATTGTGTCAAAGGCTTATTGGCGCGCTGTGATTCTAGTTCCCACGTTCATGAGGAAAACTAGACCTGTTAAAACTATAGTTCCAGTTTTAAATTCCCTTTTTAACGAGGGAGTATTTTTATCCGAAGTAAACCTGAAAATTTTACTTCCTTTCCTTTTTATGGCTTCCACGTTGCTCTTAGTCTGGGTTTATCTAGTAATCGGCTCTAAAATTATTTGCCACTCTTTCTTAGTTCCCTGCAGACTCCCCCCCTCCCCCGCTCTTTTCATCCTGTTCTGTTCTGTAAGCCAGCATGAAGCTATTCGCGGCAAGATCATGTGGATATTATAAACGCCAATTCTAAAATAATAAACGAGAGATAATTGTAACAGAGCTCTCCTAAACTGCGGTTGAGGAACGCCTTTTTTTATTGTTAGTTAGGACTGATATTCAGCTCAAAATAGCCCGCTTCCTGTTTAATTGTTATGCTGTTATATCGCCCGCTAATTCATAATGTTTCTTTATCCGCTCGGCTGGTGCGTACTGATTATGTGACGGCCAGACTAGGTTAAAAGCGAGGCTGGCTGGCGGACAAGAATAATAAAATAACACATGCAAGCAGGAAGGACTGCGAACTGCAAGTAATCGAATCAAACTATTACACGCACTAAGCTCTAATGAAGTTAGCGCCGAACAGACGTGTTAAACAATTTATTCCTAAATTCAAAACGTGTTGGATTAAACATTATCGTGTAACCTACCTTGCACTTTCGATGAGGAGAAATCCTAGGAATATAACCCTTAAAGTGAGACCGCTTCGATGCTTCATTGTTCCGATCTTTGTGTTTCGTAAAGTTTGACAACAGTGTGAATCGCCCGTGTGTCGCTTTATGAGGGCTCCTCAAATTTTAGTCCCAGGACTTCACAGTGAAGCAAAATACGATTAAATATAAATTGAAGAAAACTAACAAAGCCAATAAGAATTAAGCGTTGCTTGTGATTAGTTTCCTAAGGTTCATTATTAATGAAATGTAAAGTTTGAGAACACGTACCGTAGACAAATCAACGCCCCGTTGTCGGTAAAGCCAATAAAAAGTAAACAGATCCATTAATTTTACGAACCCTGACAATGCGTGTAATTCATATTCACAGCAAGCGAAGACTAACGCATTGGAAAGACCGTTGTTTCACCACCACCTTATTTACAAACGTTTGTCTATCGCTTTCAAGATGCATTATTTTGAAGAGTTTGTACTCCACAAATTAATCAATTATTCACAGTACTAGAGACCTAAATTAAAAAAAACATTTCGGGGCCTTTGGAAACATTTATGCATACCAATAGGGTTCAGTTTGAATGTTTTTTTTTTGTTTTGTTTTTGTTATGTTTTTTTTAGTTTTGTTTTGTCTTTATTCGGTTTCGTTCTCTAATCCTGAAGAAAATAAGTGCTGAATCTCCAATTTTTCCGAAATAAGAAAATTCGATTAAATCTTCTCCTAGTTAAGTAGTGCTTTTTAGACTGCTTGTATCATTGTCTCAAACTTTAAAAGTGGCTGATTGAAACCACATTGAATAATTCACAGCGGGTGGAAAGAGTTATCTTATTTTACATATCTTTCCAAAATATTTATCTCAGAAAATCATGTTTTGAAAACAAACAAAACAAAGCACTCCCACGATTAACCTGCCGAAGCCTAGAACAGGGAAATTTGCAACCAAATTGATGGGAACTGCAAAAGAGTATGAACTGAGTTTTTGTTCTCTTACTCTCACCTTTTAATTTAATCATGTGAAAACATTTTCATTCTTTGCAAATTGAAATAATTTATGTGCCTAAGATAGGAAAACTGATGTACCTTAAGATAAGAAAAGTACGCGAAATCATTGATAATGCTTCGCATTCGTGCTTGTGTCAAACGTAGATGCGGAGATGTAATCCGTAAATGCTATTCAACCACTGACAAATTCCCTGGTGATAATCAGTTTATCACCAAATCACTTAGCATGACTCGTGCATGTACAAAAGAGAGAAAATAAAATACCTGTTCCACACATAGGGGCCGGTCAACCTATTCTCAGTGGGGAGAAAATAGGTCTGTGATGATAGTTATGAAAGGAAAGATAAGCAAGAAAGCCAAGTGGAAATTTGCTAGCTCAAAGAGAGCCTGTAAAATGTCATGGGTGAAAATTAAATCTGCCTGTAGCATGCCCTGGCTTAATGTTAAATCTACACTCCTCAAAAAAATCTCATGAACCTAAATGTGTCGCTATCCTTTATTCGAATGGCAAACATTTACTATTCACGGAATTTAGATTACAGAAAGCACGGGTCAGTCTTTTATGACTGTGCCATCGGATTTTTCAAATTTTGAAAATATCATGTCCAGTCACAAAATGTATTGACAAACGCAAACAATCATACTCTAAATAAGGACAGGCTCTTTTTTTTTTTTGTAGCGTTGGAGGAAAAACAACTTTTATTTTACTGCTACCTTGATCAAAACGCAAAGCAATAACGTAAACCCTTTTTTATTCAAATTATGTCGATAGTGCTATATGTTTATTTACGTAATGTTTTCTTAGTTGTAGATACGACTCTACGAGTAAGTGTTTGCTTTTTCTTTGTCAGTGTAGGGAGTGATCTTACCCTGTGGCTAGAGAAAACCCAAATTTTTCATTTATAAGAAACAGTTGACTGGCTTCAAAATGACGAAAAGATCAGTTTATTTACCTAAAATTACAACCTAAAACAGTCCTCCTTATTCTATAAATTTCGCCCTTTAAATTTTAGGATCTCTTACTTAAGTCTGAATGAAATTTAACAGGATTAAGAGGAAATACGATAAAAGACCTATTGCACATATTTCGGGTTGTTTAGTGTAACCATGTCATCAATCAAAGGTTCATGTATGTAATAACAGCTTAAAGTATATCTTTGCTGAGGCTCCGTCCTCCTAGACGAATAAATCGACATAATATCATTAAATCTCAAGCGTTTGGTATGATCAAAATGAATTCTTAGCCCAACATTTTGCAATCTGATTTATTTTTACTAAAAACCACCCACGTGCGATAAGAAGCAAGGTTGGAACTCTGACGGAAGGTTGGAACTCTGACGGAAGGTCGGAAGCTCTGACCCAAAGATGAGGAGAGATTCAAGCAAACTGTCAAGGAAAAGTGAGTAAATACTGGGGGAAGCATGCAACAAACTAACGGCCTATCGAAGGAGGAGTTGTTCTTACTCTTTGTTGTTTCATGCCACGAAATCGGAGGTAAACTCTGGCGGTAGTGATTAAGTAGGCTCCTCAGGAGTCTTGACTTGTTCGCTTGTATCAGTTATTTTCCTTGTTCAACAAAGGCTCCCTTAAGAGGACAAAATAACGAGACAAAATAAAAAGAAAGCTTTGAACAGCCCAAACCATTACAGTACTGTATCATTGGCGATAGAAGTCCAATAGATGAGGTTGAAAATGCCAAAACTGACTGGAAATAGTACAAGAGAAATTTCGTCTATTGCCAGAACACTGGCCTCTGTGTACAAATTATTTCTCCATTTCTCGAGGCACAGCCATTTGCTTTCCTCACTCTTATCTTCTGGAGAATCCCTTATCATTAGCTCTTGCTCCATTTTTGCAAATTCCACCATCTCCAGTTGGGGGCTGCAGATCTTTTCTTGCTTATGTCTCTGTGTAATTAAAAAACATCAACAACGATCGAGAATTAAGGGAGGCTATGAAAGATGGTAATAAATGTTTTAGTTTCAAATAAGCAGGATCTTTTAAGTTCCTCTTTGGACATTTTAAGTAAGAATTTGAATCGATATCAATAGATATCAATAGATGCCGAGTAATCCATCATTTGTTTTGTCTAATTCAGAACTGCACGTGAACAAAGGATTACGTTTGGCTTGTACAATGAGGACATCCAAATCCGTACTTAAAAGTTATTCCAGTTCTTTCTTTCTTGTACGATTTTGAGGCCTTCGTTGCGCATTATCTATCTATCTAAACATTACAATTTCCTCAAACGCAATTGGTGCATTAGCTGCTTCATTTTTCACTAATTATTCTGTAGAGTTGCAATCAGTCAGTGTAATCAGACACTTGTAATCAGGCAGTTAAAACAGCCAATTATACTACGTCCGCTCAGCTAAATCCACCAATCACAGAATTAACTACAACAACAGCCTCTTACTCGACAAAACTAAGCAATTTCCATAATGGAAGACTTTTCTACTTCAGGCAATGTCTCTAATGGAGACATTCTCTTAAATAGACGTATTGTTTTTTTTTCGGAAATTACAATGGTTATGATTAATTGGTAAAGGGACCTCATGTCGTTCGGTTCGGTTTGTAATCGTACTAATGATTAACAGATCGGAATCCAGCTTCGCGGTCGTCTAATTCTTTTTATCGCTCATGATTACTGAACAAATTGGACTCCACTCGTTCCTACTACCATGATTATTAATTTGCTCTAAAGCACTTAACAACTCATTGAGGAGTCTGTAATCATGATTATTAATTTGCTCTAAAGCACTTAACAACTCATTGAGGAGTCTGTAATCATGACTATTAATTTGCTCTAAAGCACTTAAAAACTCATTGAAGAGTCTGTAATCAGAGTGCATTGAGTAGTTTACAATTTCAAAAGAAATTTTGCAGGTGCAACCAATTTTGGAAGGCAGGCTAGACCACAACAACTGAAGCGACATTCCCTACTTTCTGTTAGAAGTGTAGGGGAACTTTTCTTTTGTACCCAGTTGGGAAACTATGGCCACGTTGGGGCTCAATTCGTACTTCGAAGAACCGACTAAGTAAGAAACGTGGATAGTAAAGAAATTCGATTTCTACTCTATATTAGAAAGACTGGAGTGTCTCCTACCCCTGAAAGGGCGACAGTCCCATTACTGATTGTTCTGTTACTACAAGCACCCTTTGTGATGTCTTTTTCATTGTTTTTCTTGTCCTTGTCCGATTCTTGATATTTTTTCATACTTCTGGCCAGAAACAGCACCAGTGAATATTCTATCAAACTTGCGAATACGAAAAGAAAACATCCGATGAGGTATTTGTCGATGGTTTTGACATAATTCACCTGTATCAATAAAGAATAGTAAAAGGAGACATTAGCAACGATCCACATACATACACACATACATACACACATACATACACACATACATACAAACTTTATTAACGTGGCTGACACTTAGCTTTATAAATCTGCCAAACTCATGATATTAGATATCCCTCCTTTGAATATCACGCCTTGCCATGAAAACTACAACCGTTGCTTACTACAAGTACAAATTAATGTGGCAAAGGATTAATTCAACTCCACTCTTACATCCGATACACTCGCACACAGTAAGAGCCAGAGCGTTATCTTAACGTAACAAATTACTTACTACAGTTTATATATTACCAAATTTTTTACCAACTAAAGCATGTTTTCCATGAATGTCGTGTATCTAACGCCTAAACTGACTTAGCGACTCTGTCTTTCTAAGGTTACATTGTAGACTGTCCCAGAGCGTAGCACTATTGTAACTAAAACTATTTTTGAGACGCGGAACTTGAATAGAACGATTAGTTTGTTTACAGACGCTTTCAGGGAATAGCATGTTTCAATTCGTATTATAGATTTGGACGAGAAATACTAGAATGTTACTCACTTATTCGAGTTAGTAAGATCTATCGTTAACTACAAATACTTTATTTTACCTTTGGCATGGAATTGTTGAGCAAATTAAGAATGGTGACAACAGTAAGGACAGAGGTAACGCCCAGTGTGACACGTGCAGGAGGAGAGCTGCGGGGCAGCACGAAAGTGATCCAAGAGATGATAACGATTAATGCACATGGGCCATACACGTGGATTAGGAAGTAACTGGACATTCGCTCAAAAGTAAATGTTGCCTTTATACCCGACCAGTCGCCTAGGGATAAAAAGACAGAACTGTCTTTCGTGTGTCGAAAATAAAATTGAAATGTTTTAGTCTGAACTTTCGAATAAGAAGGTGTACGTCTTCCTTTACTTTCTGTATGGTTCGTTTAGAAACACTTTTTGGGCCTTTACGAATGGGGATTTATAGAGAGAAGTGGGTTGAAATTATTTTCTGACAGGTAAGGCCTTTCCACCCTTTGCCTAACGATCTGTTAGGTGGCTCAGCGAGACATCATTGACGTCATTTCCTACTCCGTATCCCTGTTATGATAGACATACACACTCCGTGTCCCTGTTATGATAGACATACACGGCCTCACCTCCAGACAAGTCGTCGATACGGATGCGAAAAGGCCCACAATACCCTGCGCGCGGTAGTTTAATACAGAAAGGAGACAGGAAGATAAGGCATATTTCGGTGAGCAAGACAAGTAAATAAAAGCGCTCAGCGTGTTTTGACAATAAATTGTAACCCTAATATGTTATATGTTTTGCATTCCAACGTTATAGTTTTAGATTTCGCTAAGTTCTTAAACATCATATTAACGTAGGCGATACTGTTTGAAAATGTTCTCGCTTGTAAAAATTAAATAGAAGCCCCTGTCTAGTCACACTCACCAACCACATATTCGTTGTACGTCTTTGCCAGACTCAGCTGAGTTAATCGGTATTGAGGCAGCATTTTGGTGCTGCCGGGCACAAATGACATTCCGTCTGTAAGGTCCTTCTCCCATCTGAATCTGATGTGGTCAGCACTGTAGCCGTCTATCGATAAAGACATATCAACCTTAATATGAGAGCATTGTTCTTTTCCGTGTTATTCTTACACTCCTTAAGTTTTTGCTGATTTTTTTTTTTTTTTTTTATTGTCCTAAAGACCCTTGCAGGTAATAGTTTCGGAGATAAACTTGGGGAGAGGAAAAAGCGATTACTAGTATCGGAGTGGCGCTGCCGACCCCAGTCATAAGAATTGAGTTGCTTCCACAAGTTGATGGCTCCAATATCGAATCTGATAGCAGAGGGATTAGGAAAAGCTTCATTGTTCACTTCCTCTCCCTTCTGTCCCCTCCTTTCCCTAAACCAGACTTACAACTCTCAATTGTTAAAGGACAATGTTGAGTGTCCATGGGAAACTTTCTTAGATCCATGGGACAGGCCGCTTTTATCGTCAGTCTACAAAGATAAAAAATTCAGTCAAAATACCCTTCTAGTTTGTACTCATAACTACAACTACGTCCAACACTCACAGAAACTTTCGACATTGCTTGTGTTTTAGATTGTCGACAGTTACTTTGCTGCTCATTTGATGGAGCATTTTACTGCAATAATTTGGATATATCAACAAAGTTGAAATGGTAAATTGGCCACCATAACAATTACAAAAGCTGACGTTTCGAGCGTTAGCCCTTCGTCGGAGCGAATAGAGGAATTGTGGGTTGTGTGTGCTTTTAAAGGCAGAAAATGGAGCTACGTTATTGGTGGGAACATGGCAACGAGAAAAACA